AATAACCCTATGGAAGAAATGACAGAGGAATGTAATTTTGATCACGAAATCCTTGATGATCGTTCACCCAGAATATGTGTGAAATTTTTTGATTTTTGGTTTTTGGCCCTAGTGGACACTGGGAGTCAAATATCTGCTATTTCGGAAGATGTGTGGAATCAATTTTCCAATTTTCATAGTGATATTCCACATTTTAAATGTACAGGTATACGAGTTGTGGGCGCATTCAAAACTAAGTTTAAAAAAGTAACTTTACAAGCTGATATTCCTTTTTCTATAAATGAAAAAAAGATCAGTCATGAATTTCTGGTAATTTCAGATTTAACATATCCCATTATTCTAGGATGCGACTTTCTACGTTTTTTCCATGTGAATATAAACTTGTCCGAGAAACATCTAGTAATAAAAATAAATGGCGAGTTTTTTGTTGTACCTGAAATTTCAGATATTCACGAATGTCCAGCCTCGTTGAATATATCTGCGTTAGTGAATAAAAACAGTAATTTTTTACCGATGTTAAATGTTGGTGATAGTCCAGGCATACATTGCAAATTTTTGAGCGTTTGTGATATCAATGTCAAAAGTGAAAATAGTTCGGATATTTGCTATACAGGGTGTCCGAACATTCAGAATAACTTATTTCGATCAATTATTTTGAAAAATAACTTGTCAAAAAATTATAAAGCTATTTTCGAGAAATTATTATTAGAATATTCATCGATTTTCTCAGACAAACCGGGTAGAACTTATATGTATACCCATTCTATCAAATTAATTGATAATACGCCATTTTTCGTAAAGCCGTATCCTATACCTGTAGCACATAGAGATGCGGTACAGAAAACTTTAATGCAAATGGAAGAGTGGGGCATAATAGAGCGTGCTCCCTCAAAATATATCTCCCCACTGATGACTACCCTTAAAAAGGACGGAAGTGTACGAGTTTGCTTGGACGCTCGTAGGCTAAATTCTGTAATGGAGCCAGATTTCGAATTACCGAGGCCTATTTCGGAAATAGTTAGGTTGATGGCTGGAAAAAAATTCTTATCGAGCATCGATTTATCGCATGGTTATTGGCAGATTGGTTTGCGCAAGGAAGACCGACAGTACACAGGTTTTATGGTGGATAATAAAACCTATCGTTTTTGTGTTTTACCGTTTGGCATTCAGACAGCTGTTAGCGCATTCAGTCGAGCTATTGATACCATTTTTGGACCAGCTTATCAGGAATTTTTGGTGGCCTACTTGGACGATCTTTTGGTGATGAGTGCTAGCTTCGAAGATCACGTGGTACATCTCACTAGGGTTTTCAGCAGGCTCCGGGAAGCTGGACTTACTGTCAAACTTAGTAAGTGTCGATTTGTTCAACAGGAAATATCGTACTTGGGGTATATCGTCAACGGCGACGGAATTAGGCCAAATCCCGAACGCATCCAGGCCCTTCAGGATTATGCGAAGCCAAAGAATGTTAAACAGCTTCAGGGTTTTTTAGGGTTATGTCAATATGACAGGATGTTCTCAAAAGATTTTGCACATTTATCAGTGCCTTTGACAAATTTGCTGCGAAAAACGACTGCCTGGAGATGGACTGCTGAGCATGACCAGGCTTTCCAGAAACTCAAGGCTCTGTTGCAGGATGATGCCCTTTTATATCACCCGGATTTTTCGCGGCCCTTTTGTGTGCAAACAGATGCCAGTGACGTAGGCGTGGGAGCGATACTTTTCCAGATGATTGAGGGAAAACGTAAAGTCATAGCATACGCATCTCGTATGCTGTTAGACAGAGAGACGAGGTATGGATCTACCGAGAAAGAAATCCTTGCCGTTTTGTTCGCTTTCCAGAAATGGCGAGTATACTTGCTCGGTCGTTCATTTTTCCTTTATGTCGATAACAAGGCTATCACTTTCATCAACCGATGTAGGCTATTGTCAGATCGAATTTCTCGTTGGACTTTGATATTACAGGAATATCGTTTTGAGGTTATTTTTGTCCCTGGAAGAGAAAATTTACAAGCCGATGCCTTGAGTAGGTACGCTTGTGCTAGATTTCCGGTGCCGACGGATAAATGTTTTCAGTTACTGACCACATTAAAATTACCGAAAGAATTCCACACTTTGATAGATAACTTTGGGCATAGTCAGGACCAAGACAGTAAACTTCAGGAAATTAAGGAAAAATTGCCAAGGGATCCCAAACTTCAAACTCTTTTTACAATATCTGATGAAGTATTATTCAAAAATGGAACTACCGATGGAGATTATTTGTTGTGTGTTCCTCGTCATCTTATTTCGGATTTCATTGACAAGTATCATGAAGTTTTTGGCCACTTTGGCATTTATAAAACTTGGTCTGCGTTGAAAACAGAATTGTGGTGGGCGAACATGCATCGATCGGTTAAACGGAGGCTTAGAAATTGTGAAATTTGTCAAAAGACAAAAATTTGTAGTTTGCCAAAACCTGCACAAATGCAGATAATACCAGAGGGAGTGAAGGATATCATTGCGATGGATATTTTTGGGCCATTAATCCGCAGTCGCGGAGGGGTGATGTATATTTTCGTGGTATTGAATTTATTTACGAAACATGTGGCTTTATACCCCCTGAAAAAAGCGAATACTCAGGCTATGTTGAATCGCCTGGTGAAAGAATACTTTCCCGCTTTTGGAATACCTAAACGAGTTTTACATGATAACGGCACTCAGTTCACATCTCGTAGCTGGAAAACCACTTTACAAGCTCAAGGTATTCAGATTGTATATAGTTCGGTGCGCCACCCTTGTGCAAATCCATCGGAAAGGGTTATGCGCGAACTTGGCCGCTTGCTGCGCACTTATTGCCACGAGCAACATTCCAAGTGGGCTTGGGAGGTGCCCCGTTTTATTGAACTATTGAATTCGGTTGTCCACGAGAGTACCGGGTTCGCTCCTTGCGAACTCCAATCCGGCATTTCTCGCCCTAGGTTGTTAAAAGGTAAATTCAACCTGCCTGAAGGTTATCAGGGTTTGGAAATACCTGTCCAGGAAAAATTGATCTTAGCTGAAGCCACGTTAAGAGGAAAAGCTGCGCGTCGTGCTGCAGCCAATCCCGGGAAACCATTTTACGATTTCCAGTCGGGTGACAGAATCTTACTTCGTGCAAATAATGTATCATCAGCGATAAAGTCCGAGACGAAAAAAATGCTATTACTCTTTACAGGACCTTATCGTATTAAGAAAAAGGTTAGTGACGCCACCTATGTTCTAATAAACGACCAGGATGATAGAGAACGGGGAATTTTTCACGCTTCCCATTTGAAGTTATTTTGTTCTCCAACTTAGCGCACCGCCTAGGGCGAGATGTAGCGAAACTGAGTTAGGGTAGTATCCAACTTTCCAATTTCATCCTTTTCATTTCTGGTTTTGGGCTTATCATCACCCCACGAGTACTGCACTGGAGCTATTTACTATTTGCCTTGAGGTACCTATGCCAGTTTTTATTTAGAGCGTCGAAAAAAAGTATATTCATATTTTCAAGAAATAGTCGTTCTTCGCGAGCGGAGTGAATTTGGGATTGCGTATCAGAGAGTGTCACCTACGACTATTAATTCCTTTTATACCTAGCGAAGTGTTTGCTATTGAACAGAATTTTGTGGTTTCCAACTGCGCTGAAATACGTTTATTTGACTAGCAGTGTGCCTGATCTGTCAGGTGAGTTGATGCTAATAACATCCTTATAACAATCTTCGATATATCAATTAAGTACTGGACTCCGCTAAGTTCCTATTTTTCTTTCTTCTAATAATTGCGAATCAGTCACGCGACGAAATTAAAGTTTTCTGTCAGTTTGCAGATACCTAGCAAGTTTAGGAATAATAAAACTGGTTTGTCTGACTCTGCTCGTTTCTTTGCTGCAAATATATATACAGTGTGGACCCAAATCAAAAAACCCTGAGATTTAAAGAGAGTTCCGCCGCAACTCACATATAATCAAGTTATCAAAACTATATCCAAATTGAATATTTCATTTGACCTAACAGGAGGAAGCCATGATATAATTATTCAGACTTTTTCGAGGAAACAGCTTGTCAAAATATTTCTTATACTCCATAACAAAACATGTAAATGTTGGTTATGCTAGAGAATTGGCAATGCTGTGCTAAACTCGGAGAACTAGTAGTAGTAGTAGTGACAAGATAACGGTCACAATCCTGTGTTGTCACGTTTACCGGACTGAATCTCTAGTACGAATTTATATAATTATTATTTACACAAATTCATCATATACATCAAGACACATCATATAAGAGGGACAATAGGCAAGGACACAAATGCGTGAATTCTCTTTAAATGTGCATATAATTGAAATATAGTAGTAACATAACATGAATGCATCAATATATTGAAAAAATATGCTGTAATATTTCAAAAAATAACACCATTTGAACACCCTACAGTATTGACGTGATAATCCCGTTTCCTGTGTTTCCAGCTGTTTTATTTCAAGGAAATATCCCTTGACTGTAAACTGGTGAGATAATTCGATATTCATGTAAATGTCATCAATATAGTATGTCTGTATGGTATATGATCTTTCCCTCATTTCCAATTCTTTAAGGTTATAGCTGACATAATTAGTTATCTAGTAGGTTGTAGCACACTGTAGCGACGAAATTTGGTCTACTACTCAATTATTCGTCCAAACATAGGTTTATAGAACAATCTAACTGAACGATTTTGGTATTCGCGAGATTCACGAAGTGGGCGACATCTAGGTTACATGATACGAACTTCAAACTGGGGGAAAACAAACTGTTGTCTATGGATAAAGTGCATAGACTACTTTGCATTCAGTTTGCTGTAGCTGTAGTCGAACTTGTCAATGACATAAAGTGTTGGCATTGTTGGTAGTGATGATGGTTGAGTTGGTTGATTTTTTTACATCATTACATTTTTATTAGTTTAGTGAACAGGTGAAGAATTGGAGATAGTTTAAACAATTCAAACTGATTATGACGAGCAACTCAATTGACATATAAAAGAACAGCTACAACATGTTTACAATACCCAGATTGTCCTGCTTTGCATGAACAAATACAAATCCATTTTTCTACAAGAGTTCCTCTGGACCCCAACTTCAATTTTACTTCATGTGTGGAAGATTTCATCGCCGGAGTTTGTTGGCAAAGTGCAAAAATGTGCCTTTTGTTGAAGTCTTCTGCCTCACCCGAAATCACATGATTAGCACGGAGAACTGCTTCTCCTTCCACTACTGGTCGGCTTTTTCCATCTGAATAGAGCAAAATATCTGCCAAAAGAACATCTACCAACAGGCATTATTAGCGTTTTCGACCGAATGTTGACAATTGATGTCAAGAAATTTAAAATTATCACTCTTATCAGTACACAGTACACAAGTTAATGGCACTAAGGGAATTGAGTGAGGATTGAGTTTGTTTTCCCCCAGTTTTGACGTAGTCTTTGACATGGAACGATGAAAACCGAGCGCCACCTGGTGACATTGATTCCCGCGAATACTTTTTAATGAACCTCAAATTCTGGTGACATCACTTTAATATCTATGTCATAACATGCCACAATCCAGTGTATCGGAAAACAGGAACAAGTGAGCTTTAAACTGTCTTGCTCAGTTCATCCATGATATTGTTGAAATCAGTTGAATAAAATGTCCAAAAAAGTTAAGAATCGGTTGAAACGGCAACGCTGTTCATGTCACTGAATAGTCAATTATCGATTTTTTTTCGACTACCAATAGAAGGTCGACGCGTTATAGAACTTGTGACATCAGTATCGCTGACGATTTTTCGTCGTATTCTAACGGAAGCATTTCTTTGGAAATTTATTTTGAGAAATCTAGAAGGAATAAAAAATTTATAAAAATTCTCGATGCATTTTCTCATCGTAATGAACGTCATAGCATTTTTACTAGAAATGAGTGTTTGCCTATTAAAAGACAATGGACTTTTTATAGCTAATTGAGAATATTACCAATACATAATTGAGAATTTATGAACTATTAAATGAATAATATTTGGCAACTGTGCCATGGTCTGTCCCTACTTACGAAATCGTGACGTCAGTATTTATTTGCAGTAAATTTCTAGCCGTTTGAAAATTACCGTGGCAATGATGTCGACACCTTTAAATCGACCGAAAAAAATCTTTAAAAAATATGGAATGATTTCATTTGAGAAATAAAAAAAAATTTTACACTCGCCCATTCAATGTGATATGAACAGAGTCGAATGATTATTTATGCACCAATTGTGTTTTATGTATTCACCGGCGAAAAGAAAAACGGCCTGAAAAAAATTGTTTGCCCTGTAACTTTTTCAATTCTTGACCGATTCTGGTGAAATTTTTACCAAATCATAGATTTATGTTTCGGAGTGTTAGCCTGAATTTCAATTCTTTAAAAAAGCTGATGACCTGATCACTATACAAAGTAACTCTTTCACTCTTAACTTCTCAACGCCCTGTGGCAAAAGTGAGTGGTTAAACTTATAGCTTATTCGACTGGCTGCACTATTGCGCATTCAATTCCAACTTTTGTCGTGCGTGTGTGTTCGGCTGGTATGCACTCAGACAGTACCAATATTATTTCTATTAGGCTGTACTGGCACTACTCAAGGGTAGAGCTGAATTTATGTTCGACTGGTAAAAGCGCTTGTTATACGACGCTATACCTATAGTGGAGTATACTACGGCCTTGCCAAAAATGCTATCTCGGAAACTAAGCGAGATAGAGGTATAGTTACTTTGGAGAAAATGATCCCCATCGAATTTTGAGCAACTTTGGTTTTTGTGTGTGGTCTGTCTGTCTGTCTGTCTGTACTCTGTGTTAATCATAAATCGATATATCTCCGGAACCCTTTGACATATCGACTTGAAATCTTGCCATCTTATTGTACTCAAAACAATATTATGTCATTAAAATATGAAGAAAATCGGAAAACTCTAAGGTGGTTTTTCCGGGCTTTTTCGATTTTTCACCGGAAGTTTCTTGTAACCACTCTACAAATCGCAAAAGTGGTCCGATCGATTTCATTTTTTGTGAAAAAAAACTCTATCAGGGAGAGACGAAGCCTATTGAAATTGAGCAGGGTCGGAAAATTCCAAGTGGGTTTTTCAAGGAGATTTTCCGAAACACACGGTTCGCTTTAAAACGATATATCTCCTGAACAAATAGACTGAATCCAAATTTGAAAAATGCACCGTATGCCTCTTTGATGACGCAACAAATTATTATCCAACCATTTTTTCGTGCATCCATCGGAAAATGGAAAAACAAATGAAAATCCAAACATCAAAATTTGAAATCCTTTCAATTCAATATATATCGAAAACAAATGGAAAAATCGAAAATTATCAAGAGTGCAAAGTTATCCACTGGGACATTTCCTACAAATTATTTTCCATAATTTTTTCTGTAAACCCAATAGTACAGGAAATAAAGTGAAAAATATGAAAAAAAAAATTTAACGACCCATAGGGTACTATGAAGATATATTGAAAAACATAGATTATCGATAGATGAAGCTCATCGACTTCCACTGAACCATGAAATATTTTTTCATTTTGTTGATTGGAAGATGGAACAAAAGTGTTGAAAATTTTATTCTCAGATAATTCCAAATATCTCGAAAACAACTGAAAATATCTGAAAATGTTATAGAAGCAAAATTATTTCTTTTGATAGAATGTACAAAAAATCCATATCACATTTTCCTCTGAATTCAATAGTTCGGGAGATACGATGAAAAAACTAAAAATATTTACAAGTTCCTAGATAATCACTTGCCAATAGAAAACAAAACAAAAAACAAAAGAATGTGAAAAAACACACACACACTCGACTGTCTTGATTTTTTTCTCATAAACTACGTACCTAGCTCACTCGACTGTCTGGAAAAACCAAGACAGTCGAGTGGGCTAAGTACGTAGTTTGTTGGAAACATCTCCAGTTCTCTGAACTTTCATAGCGTCGTATACACATCTTTGGTGCCCAATGATAGTTTCAATATAAAAATATGCTCAAGATATGGTGCCATGGCCTCTACTTCCATCTTACATGAGCAATATATGATAAAAATATCATCTGCTTCTATAGCGTCGTATAAATTATCTGACCTCTATACTAATCTAATACCTAATGAAAACTACATCTATACTAATCTGATACCTTTTAAAAACTACGTACCTCACTTGTTGTTAATTCGAATGTTTTCGCACAATAGTTTTTGACGGTGCACGGGCTGAAAAATGCTGGAAGATATTTTGTGTTCAATACCATTGTTATGTTCAGATTTCGAAATGAATGTAATAAACCTATAAGCAATTGATTCCCTATTGTCCAGCAACAGTGATAGTAGCTATTAGTTGATAGCAATAATGATATTTCTGAATTCATAAAATCGAAGTAGGATGAAACGAGAAAGCAGAAAATTAATGATACCCAGAAATTGCAATGAAATATTGGTATACGAGGTATTTGTAGTAAATGACAAAATTGCATCATACTTACTATACACCATCGAAACCTCTGATTATTCACAAATATCAAATTTGTCAATTTTGAATTGAGATATTTGATTAGATCTAGCTTGTTTCAGCCTCAGGATCCAACAGCACGTTGTCCTAAACATACCAGTTGAATATAATGTCAATATTGAACTTCATCCCTACAGTGCCAGAATAATTATTTGAATTATCAACATGCATCTGCTCTAGATTGGTGCGAACAAAACGAATTCTGTCCAAAGTCAGTGCAGTGCTAAATACGCATCTATACCGTACCAGTGCAATCCAGTCGAATACGCTATTAGAATCATCATGTTTTGAATTGGTAACAATTTTTCATGGAATTCGTCGCCATCTGAACGGAGTCGAACGGTTATTTATGCACCAAGTGTGTTATAAACGGGTGTTCCAAAAAAGGTGTCCCCCTTACTAGGGGTAAAATTCTTCAAAATAACTTGGGTTTGCTGAGTAAAAAATGTCGTAACAGCATCCGTTTTCAAAATACAAGGTGGTGAAAAATAGTATATTATGTAACAAGTGTTATAAACGTCCTTTTAGTAACGAGTAGTGTAAGCACGAGCGGAGCAGAGCGGAGCAGAGCGGAGCGAGTGTTTAATAAACGAGTGTCTAGAAGAGTTTATAAACGCGTTACATACTATGGTTTTTCTACGAACTCCGTAAATTACATTAACATACCTGCAATTCCTGCTAACCTACAAAATAATTCGAAAGGAATGGGAATTGAGAACATAATACATACAACTGCATGCAACCAGCGAGACACGTATAAGTGATATTGGTTGTAGTTGTGTCCAGTCCATTACTAACCTTTGTTTCACGTTTATTGTCATGCCTAGCGCAGAATAAATAAATTGTTCTCAAAGATGGATGCTTCATTTTTACACTTCTTGGAGATATGCAAGTACCAAAACATTCTCTTCGATTTCACTTTCGTAAACTTTTCGCATATATTTTTAATGAAGAATTCTGATACAAACGAATATTGTTTGAATAATTCTGATACACAATTCGAAAATAACAGTTGACAGTTGATACAATTAACAGGCCAGACATTTCTCAAATTTCTGAAGCTGTGTTTAATGAACTGCGTTGCCATGGTAATGTGTGAGAAATCGTGTTGCCATGGTAACGTGTTTAATATTTTGAATGAATCACAGATCGACAATCCGTGATTAATCGATCATTTAGCGTGGTACATATCCATATGCTAAATGCCATTTCAGTTATGTGAGTAGAAAAAAATATTTTTCACATTTTTTTTACGATTATGTCGAATTTACTGGCAAAATTGTAATGACATTTTTTATTGATGTGTTTCGGAAGCTGGCTCATTGCATACATTTGTTTTTATATTTTAATCTCATAGAGGGCGCTAGTTACATGGTTCGTATCGAGTCGTTTCACACATTACTTTTTTGAGGTTAGTTTTGTCAATCAACATTCAATGTGAACTTCATCATTCAATTTTACACCAAAAAGGTACTCTTGATAATATTCCATAGGGTGTATCGTTTTCGGAATTCTTCGATTTGAAAATGATGATGTTATATTTCGATTGTGTCTCTCATAATATTCTTCTGGAAAAATTATCCTACTATGGTTTGAGAGGAGTAGTTTTATCACTTATTAAATCATATTTAGAAACTCGTTTCCAGAAGGTTAGTTTCAACAACGCTTGTTCAGATTACCTTCCAGTCGTACATGGTGTGCCCCAAGGGTCGGTCCTCGGGCCACTACTGTTCATTATTTATATAAATGATATATTTGAGTTCATGCAACCCACCAAATGTGTCTTGTTTGCTGACGACACTACACTTATTTGTTCTGGAAGTAATTATCAAGATCTCATCACCGAAACAGAGATTATCGAAAAACGAGCTGAGGAGTGGTTTGAATATAATAAACTGAAGTTAAATACCAATAAAACTCAAAAAATTGTAATGTCAACGCATCCCTCTTGCCATAAAGGTAATAGCGTGAATTTACTAGGGATCACGCTTGATGAGAAACTAAATTGGCACCATCATATTGAGCTTTTACAGAAAAAACTGTCAAGCACCATATTTCTCCTCAGACAACTCAGGAGTATCATAAATTCTGTAACTTTAAAAACTGTCTACTTTTCTTTATTTCACAGTCATATAAATTATGGCGTTTTATTATGGGGAAACTCTTCTCATGCTCCTATCATATTTCGCCAGCAGAAAAAGGCAATAAGAGTAATGGCCAATGCATATTATAGAGAACACTGTAAAACCTTATTCATCGCATATGGCATCATGCCATTACCAACTTTGTTTATCTATAACACACTTCAAGAGGTTCACAAACAATCTAACATACTCAGAACTCATAGTGATATTCATGATCATGACACCAGACATGCGATGAAGATACGTAATCCTCGGTTTAGACTTACTGTATCTCAGAAAAACTCTTTGGATTACAACATTTACAATATATTGCCTCATAGAATTAAAAATCTCTGTTTCATCAAATTTAAGAATAAAATAAAGCAATACCTCCTGGAACATTGCTTCTACTCACTGGAAGAATATTTTCAGACTGATCATGAGAAACTACTGGCTTGAGTATTAATATGGATGAAGTCGCTATCAATATGTACCTGTATTTTATATTTTTTTCATATTTTTCTCTATTTTTAATCTGTATCAATATTTTCATATTGTTTGTCTTTTAACTTTTTATTGTTTGTCTTTTAACTTCATTTTATAAACAGTTCTATTTTTTTTATAGTTCTAACTCCTTGACCTGCTACAAATGTACAGTGTACGTAATGTGGTAAAATAAAGTATTCTATTCTATTCTATTCTATTCTATTCTATAAATGTTGCTGGTATAAAGCTATGTGTTAGTGCATAAGTATTATAAAAAACTATTACCTATTTATTTAAAACCGAAAACAACAATATATTCCTAATGCTGAACTCATTAATTGAACATTGAATCACAAGAATAACATTGAAATAAATTTGACTAAAAACATGGTTCAAGATTCAGAATTCTGATCACCCTGTATCTGTTCCGATAAAATATCAGTAAATAGTAAATTAAAAGTTGAGATGGTGACATGTGAGCCGTTTTGACCGATAATGAATAGTTTCGACACAAAAAAATCCTTTAGTTGAAAAATCTCGATTTTGAACACCCTATATCTCTTTAATCTTTTTCGATAGATCCCACGAGTGATATATCGATAAAATCAGCTCTTCAGGCAGAATCTAAAAATGCGATAAAATACAGGGTGTTCCATTTGAAATATCAATGTTGCTACTACTTTCTAGTAGAAGCGACAACAGTGCATTGTCGAAAATATTTTGAATGAAGAGAGCGTATTGTAAAATATAAGCATGCATATTTTCATGTATCTCTCCCGACTGATTCTCGATACAGAGATTAGGTAAGCTCGTCGTGACATACCCTTTTGAATTTCGTCCTGTTAAGGCCTGGTTTCTCTGACCAGATCGGCACGAAATATTTCGGCGTTCAGCGTACAGAACGTGGGTATTCGCCGGACTCAGTTCGTTCAAAAGTTTCGTCTATGTGTGGTTTGTTTGAAGAAAATTTTCGTTCCGATATATTTCAGTCTTCCCGTAGCTTACATTAATTCGGCAGCCACTTTGATTTTTAAGTTTGTGTAGATATAAGTTAACTATGAATAAATGATAAACGTAAAGTAATCTTAGTATTTTTATTTTGGCTCTCATAAGCATACCTGTTCTGTTATATCCGCATTCTCCAATTTCCCTTGCAATTTTTGTCCAAATGTCTTTTATTTTCATATCCTTGTAACTTTTCAATTTCTTTGCATATAAAGGAGGATTTTCTTTTACTTTTTCGATCAATATTTCATCCTCTAGCGAGGAAAACTCCAATTAGTTTTACTTCTTTGCAGACGACATCTTTTAACGTTCATTAGCTTTAGGTCTAGTTTTATTTTATAATAATTATAAAAAATACGTTGTTTGTTTGTCTATGTCTGAAAACAAACACACTACACTATTTCGGCAAACTGTGCCGTTTTGAAATCGTTCAAATCAAACACTGGTTGATTCCGACGAACTGCTATCCGTTTACTTTCCTGAAATTTCGGTCCGATCTTTTATACAAACCGCCACTACGTAGTACAAATACGCTTGGTTTCACCGGAAACGCTAACGAACTGTCTGTGTTATATCACCGAAATATTTCGGGTCGATCTGGTCAGAGAAACCAGGGCTTACGTCTTCCAAAAACCTTGCGTTACGTCGCGTCATGGTGTTCTCATCATGTCTTAATCTACAAACCAGTTAGATTTCAATGGAGTTGAGGATAGGTGAGTACCCCCGTTGAATGAAAAATAATGAACAATATTGTAAACAATCAGTTTACCGGGTTTGATAGTGTAATTTCAAAGGATCACGAAGAAATTTGATTTGGAAGTTTCAATACGCCCAATGGGTGTGACGGCGCAAAAAATACAATACCTACCTCCTCTCTAAAAATACAATACCTACCTACCTCCTCTCTCTACCCTCTTCAGGTATGCACGACATGTTCTTGAACATTTTCAGTCTTACCAGTTGGCGCTACTAAAACGTGAGGTCAATGTCAAAGTCAAAAATCCCGGATAGGCCTAAATGCTGTGGCTCATTTTATATTTCTACAAACACTGACCTCGTGTTTCATTGGCGTGATGTGGTGGACACTCATTGACAATAACTGTCATTTACTGTTGTCAAAATAATTATTTACGAAATCCAATAGATTTAACGTGTGAATAAGACCGTGGTGTGATTATCAGTGTTCAAGGTGAACGGAATACAAATACGATATTTTGAAGATTTTAACAGGAATTACACCTGCGTTTGCAGGCATCATTATCATTTTTTTGAAGTAATCAAATATCTGTCAGTCTAATTATGTGATTTGATAAAAAAATGCCAACTTGGTGGTTGTTTAGTCCCAATCCGATCCTATGACCAGTTTTTCTCCAAAAAAGGACAAATGATTTGGATTTTTTTGATAGCAGTTTTTTTGTTTAACCTTTGGGTAGAACAACCATGTATAGAATCAACCAAAACTGGTCTTCATCACAGGGTGATTCACATCTGAATTATTGTGTTATTTCCAATTTCTAAATATCGATACCACAACTTAATAAAAATTACAAAATGAAAATCATCATTCGATATGTTTTTCTCACATCAAATGGATTCATTATATGTATTGATTATACACGGTGATTCGTGAATGCTGATGTTTAGAGAAAAGTTAATTGGCCCACCTCGTATTATTGGGTTGATTTAGGGTATTGATTATAATTTTTGAGGCACATTATGATGCATTTCATGGTATACAGATTGATTTATTGATTGAAAACATTGCCAACTACAAAAAATATCGAAAAACCACTGTTTTTTCCATCACCCTCCACCCTCTAATTCTAGATTTTCACCGTTGAGGTCAGATTTTATTTTCCATTAATATACTAAGTATGAATACCTCAATGAAATGGAGAATTTTCAGCTCTTTCCTATGACTAGTTTTTCATTTATAATGATTATAAAAAAGTTAATACCCACTCAGATGAAATACCTACTGCTTCGACACGAAAGATTACTTGCAGAAATACTGAAATATTCCTCTTGAAGAGTTGAAGTTATCATATTATTGATTGGAAGATTCAAGAATTACAGAATATACAGGGTGCCGCTAAACCATGGATGGATCATCACTCTAGTTCATAGCTCACCAAGAAACCACAACATTTATACTAAAAATTAAATTCCTATTTGTATGTTTCAAGCTAATGAGGTAAGATTCATGTCAATTATCATCCTCGATGAATATTACTGAGTAGTAGGTCTAACAATCGCACAAAACAGACTTTCCATGGTAGTCATTTATGGTCTACAAGAAAATAATCCTCCGATTCGGATCCTTCATGATCTTTAATCACCGACCGTAAATGGCTGCTATCGAAATTCTGCCCTATGCACAACTATACTAATCAGTAGTACTAATCGGAAATAAGAATTAACTTGTAACAATCCTTATTAGCTTGAAACATGAAGAGAGGAATTAATTTTTTCATATATAAATGTTTCAAATTGTGGTTTTCTGATAGGTTATGAACTTGTTCATAACAATCTTGAGTATGATCGATGGTTTAATGGACACTATATAATACAACCAACTCGTTTCCAAGTCACCCTAGAGGTAGAGCTTCCAGCGCATTTTTTTTTTAAGTGGTATCCCCATTAGGTCTAGTCAACTGTACAAATGATGTCAAAAGTTTATATCAATTGATTTCTGGAAAAAAATAAATGAATGATTTGGACAAAGCAACACTATTGTCAGTTTCAAATTACCTCCGGACCGATATCATTTTAATACAGGAAATGTGCGGGGTCCTTTTTCCACCACAAGACAAAAAAATACGTGTATAATATTTTAATTTTCACTATCTTTTTTCGAAGTTAGACGATTTAAACCTGAGACACAATGTATATATCCGGAGAAAAAGTACTCACTTTTTCCCATGAGTAAAAAAAATGTAATATTTCGTAGAGGTGACGAAAAATAACTATTTCAGGAATTGTTGCGTGCATTTCTCTTGTCATTATGTTGGAATCTCGATTCGAACTATTGTTACAGATCCGTGGACGTGGGTGATGGACTGGAGCGATATGCTCTCCACTGCCAACCTCACCCTCATCCTCGACAAGTTCTTCTTCCCCCGATGGCTGCAGACGCTGGCCGTATGGCTGAATCACAACCCCAACTACACTCAGGTGACCGAGTGGTATTCGGGGTGGAAGAGGATGTTGTCGGACGAGTTGTTGAGTCAGCCGACGATAAAAGGTATTTTTCCTACGACCACTTATGAAAGCAGCTCAGAAAGTATCTCTTATCAATGTGAAAACGAACAGTGTGTCAGTGTGGCAATATTCTCGCACGCACACGTGATCTTTGTTTGGTCTTCATAATGTATGGGTGCACTATACACTGTTTTACCACTAACCAAACCGATTTTTTGAACGCCTCGACACGTGTCGAAAAATTGAAAAACGGAACGAAAAAAAATATATAGAAAATCAATTGAACACTAATCTTCTAGGGTTCTTTGTGAATTCGTTGGTCACTTTGTTGACGATATCGTTCAAGTGTTTGAAAATAGGTTGCCTCTGTACACTCGTCATTGCGATGCCATTGAGTCGAGCTTCAGACATGGTGCTCCTGAACCAGGTTTTGATTCTCCGAAGGCTACTAAATGACCTTCCAACTGTACAAGTTTTACAAGGTAAATCCACAAAGATCTTCAAAGCCTTCTTAATTTCAGTACAAAAATCTGTTCTCGGAAGTTCTTGGCTCAAAGTGAGCGTTATCATAAGTAATATCACAATGTTCTGAATATTCCAGATAATTCTGTCACTTCATTGTTCCCGAAATTGTGTTGCCGAGCCACCACGAGTCCATCAGAACGAGGGGTATTGCTGTACGGGAACACAATTGAATTAACAATGAAAGACAGAATTATGAGAAGATACTCACAACATACTGGTATTTTGTTAGAATATTTCACGTTCACGAAGCATAAAAATCATTTATTAGAAATGAGTGAGTCATTCTGACAAGTACAGCGATAATTATTTTATTCCAAACTGACACTTTGCTTCACTATCCATGGTTACATCGTTGAAAACATCAACGCTGAAATACCAATCAACATTGAACGACAGCTAATGTTTTCTCGATAAGCTGACGTCTATGGCGGGTGATTGATCAGATTATGTGATGAATGAAATAGCCCTTTCAATTAGGAGGGTGACTAGTGAGCGTTAACCTCTAGGGAGGGGTGTAGCTGCATCACCCGGCCCCTCTGGCGACGCCCTTGCAGGTAAGCCCTACTCTTGATACCCAATGACTGAACTAAAATAAGTAGTAAGCCTTGCAGATCTTGGCAGGCTGGAGAATTTCATCTTCACCACTTCGAAGCGCACTGCAAGTGCCACCCCAAATCGTCTCGTTTCATTGCCGAACCCTGTATATCAGGTGTATTAAAGCTGAACTTCAGGTGAATCCAGTCATTTTAAATTGACATATGAACTAATTTAAATTTTTCTTTGGAATCATTCACTTGCCTCACAGTATTCACAACAGTGGCGGCTTCTCAGAGGAAGCAACGGAGGCTGAGACTCCTCACGAATTTTTATACATCAAATAGTTCAATATGCTTGCATAAAATATACACCGAAATAGCTAACTCACGTTCGTTTCATCGGTTTTATTTAGTGATATCATGTAGAATTTGAGAATTTTGCAGCATTGCTTCCTTTACTTTACCGATTTGACCCTGACACTATTTTTTTACGATTTTGCGTTATTTTATATTTATTATATGAGTAAAGATAATCATCGTTTTTTATTTATGTTTTTCTGGAATTGTTGTCGACGCACCTTGTTAGGGATCGAAATAAAAAATGTATCCACTTGACATTTGTACCCCCCCCCCCCCTATAAATTGCGTACCGCAAAATACGTTATCATAGCCTCATCAAAGCTGGGATTCTCTGCAAGTGGGGCAAGATCAAAAACTCTTTATTTGAGCCGTTGAAAAGAGGACGCAGTTCAGAGTACTTGTAATTTTTATCAAGGTTAGTATACATTGAAATCTATCTTTGGAAATAGCGGCTGATAAAAGTTCGTTGCAATTTTGCCAAAACATATTATGTCGTCTTGGAACAGTTGTATATCCACTGACAAGTTACACCCCTATGGAGCAGTACATCTCGTCTGCAGTAAATTTCCAGGGGCGGTTTTTTTTGTTGTACATAAATATTGCTAAAATTGACAATATATCCTACCAAGTTTTTATCGAAAAACAGCTTGGGAACTCTTGCTTTGTGCAGTTTGAACTGGATGCCATCGCATGAACGTAGAATCTAAATCTCTATTAAGAGTATAGTCAAACGTATTTTTGAGTTTTAGGTCGCCTTTCAACAAAAGTGGACAGTGGTAGATTGTCATCACTGTCCCGTCGTCATCACCTTGTACGTCAAATTCAATTTACGCAATGGCCCTTTGTGGCACTCCGGGTAAATTATTTGGAACTATATCGTCTTCAGACCCATAATCTTTATCAATATCGTAGTTTTCATTGTCATTAAGAATAGAAAACAAAGTTGCGACTTGGCATCATCCAACGGAAAGCAGCCTCTGACCAACGAAATTCGCCATAATCGCGAAGGGAGCACGTGTGACTGAGATGTTTATAAGTATACTTTTATAAACTTGACGGCAACATGAAGTTGTTTGATTAAATAACATATTATTCTATTGTATTATACAAATGTGGCTGAGCGAAGTCTCTTTGAAATGGAAATTGAAATACAATTATCAGAATTTTATTAAACAAAATCAAAAATGAACCATCTATGCTTACACTGTATTCTGTATTTTTTGCCATAAGTATAAGTGATTATAAGTGTTATTTGGTCGATGGCCATTAAAAATATGACGATATCAGCGTCTCTTTTCTATGAACAAGAACCTTATACCCAAATGTCGTAGGTTTTTTGTAGAATTTCACATTTACATTTCCCATTCAGCCTCCTCTGTTGAAAGAAGCACGAGCCGCCACTGATTCACAATGAATGCTAATGAACATGTTGATAAAGAAATCATACAAATAATGTTTTATAATGGGAAATGTGCAGGAAAGTTATATACTGGGAGTTTGGTTTACCAACGTATATCTGAAAGGGAGTGATAGGTAAAAACATTTCAAACATATTTAACCCTTATAAAATATTATACAAAGTGTTAATCTCCTTTTCTTTGGAAGTTGAAGACGTTTTTCATCGATATTGAACACGTAATAAAATCCACATGTGATATTCTTATGGCTCTTCAGAATTTAAAAAACGATTATCTGTAACATCCAACTTCGAATTTATAAGTGATGATTTTTTGAAAAGTGTAACCCTTTGTATAATAGTAAATATGGTTAAATATGTTCAAAATCATAGTACCTCCTTCCAAATTTATCCTTCCCCATCAGCCGTTCAATGGCCGACAATTTTACGTCTATTCGAATTTTGCCAGTTCAGTCCACTTTTCATGGTAGAAGTTCACCCTTGTAGATTACAAAATGCCATTGTGCTTGGCAGTCTTGGGTTTTCTACTTCCTATGTGAATTTAACAATAACAGACAAGAAGATATATTTATACGCCATTACTCCAATTGCCTTCTTCTGCTGGCAAAATGTGATAGCAAATTGAGAAGAATCCCCCATAATGAAAATCTGTAATTTATATCAAAAATAATCTTTAACAATTGCATCACTGCATGAAGAAGAGTTTAGGATAATAACAAATGAAACGATGAAATGTGTGTAGAATCAAGAAGTTCCGATACCAGCATCAAGTGCATCGATAACAGTTATGTACTATCATACATTGTACCATATTACAATAAGTAAGATCAGATAGTGAACTATTTGAATAAAACCTAAAAAAATATTTGACAGCTATAATTAGTGCTGTTGAATTGAGCCAACAATATCTTTGGACTGGACTTGGTTCCCTTTGATTGTGAGATAAAATCAAATATTTTGTGAGTAGGTATAAAAACAGACATATTTGATGAGTGGGTATTTTGTCTTGCTCATGGAATATTATGTAGAGGATACTATGTTTGTGGATATTAGTGACCAATTATGAGGGTATCTCACTGACCAAATCAGTAAATTGAACATTTCCGGTCACGTTAACATGACGTTTCCACAAGTTCGGAATGAGGGCACTAGCAGTCCCAGGAAATGAAGCAAAATATATAATTCTGAATCTCGACCTAACTTGATGTCCCTTCTCTATTTTCCGTTATTAATTTCAGAAAATTTCCACAAAGCATTGGAAATGATGAACAGAGCTGTCAATATCGGTCAACAACCTGGTGCTAAGGAATCGATATCTTATTTGAAAAATATGGAAGAAAATGGCGTCCCGACGCCCGCACCACCACCCAGAGTTGAGGTAAGTTCATGATGTTTAACTCGAAGGAGGCGAGAGCTGTCGAGCAGGTCAATTATTATGGGTACTTAGTAGTAAAACAGTAAGAAAACAGCAAAATTACAGTTGGATAATATCAAAAGGTTCAATCAGTTGTAATATTGCTCAATTAACAATATTGTTGTGATCATAACATACCAATATCACCATGGAATTCTGTATTCTGCTTGGAGAGTGACTGCAAGATTGATTATAAGTTTAAGTTGATGCAATATTGTTGAATAATGGCGAATTTTTGAGCTGAACAATGTTTTGAACTCATTTGTTAAGTGCTTTTGGGTGTATGATGAATTGACATTCATCATACAGGGCGTGGAAAGAAATTCTGAATTGAGACTCTATCACGAATCTGCGATTAGAGGTCTATAAAAATCACAAGTTTCCATCGTTCAAGTTTGAACCCCCTGATTGGGTATGATAGTGCCATTATTTTATGAGAAAGAAGCAAATAATAGTGGGTTAGAAACCCTTCTCGTCTTTGGAGGAAGATTTTATGTTTACCAAACCTCCCAAATAAGTCTATCTTGCATTAAAATTTTCAACATTATATTCTATATCATATTATTCTGATTGACAGACTGTTTGTATTTGGTATCGGAAATTGAAGTCTCATAATTTCTCTATGCCTCAGCGGTCTCTGATGAATTTTCATGTTTCAGTGAAAAATTGTAATTAATTATTTTGAGATACTAACTTGCGTGAATTTTCTAAATAATTATTGAAATTACAGATACATTGACCAATCCAATAGGATACGACTTCTGTATTGTGTATATCTCATGACATCATAAACCACTATGTTGAAATTGTTTTATTGCTTTGTGGCTATGGTCTAATGGTTGTTAAGAAAAATGAGATATAAGTATGGTCCTTTTCCGGCGACAAAAGGGAACCCAACATTTGAAAGAATGACCACCAAAATGGCAAACAAACTTTTGATGGCGTTTTTGTCCATTTTTTCAAACTTGCGTTGTCAGAAAAGTATATGATCTGTGGATATGGTCGCGATTTGGAGTCATCCAATGGAGAAATTGTAAGAACCATCAGCATGATTTACGTATTAATTAAATTGTCTTATCGAATTATACTCGAGCTTTTTTCCAAAGATTTTGAAAAATAATATGAGCCAGAAATCCTGTTTATAAAGCGGAATGAGTTTTTATGTGCCCCTTCATTGAACTAGTGCAGTCATATTTCACACGGGAAGTCAAACGGTAGCGTATCATTGAAGGCATATTATTTTGTTATATTATTATATGTTAATACATAACAAAAAAAATAACAATACTTGCCATTCATCGATCGCTGACAAGATATCCTTATACAATGTTTTTGCAAAGGTTTCAAAATAAGGAAAGTATTCTCTACAGAAATAATTTACCTCATTCGTGTTCACACATCCATAATAGTATTGGACCATTTGAATTAGACACGATAATAATAGAAAATCCTTAACATAACCAGTGACTAAAAACGATCAAGCATAAGTACCTAGTTTTACAAGTCACATCACTTTAACAGCTGTTGTTTTTTTCATTAGGCATTCAGAATATTATCTGTAAGATTCTTCTAATTATTCAACTGTTGACCACTATCTATCTACTGACATTATACAGGGTCACCAGAGTTCTGAAATTTTCACCACCGAACATTCGTTTCAATTAAATGTCAGTAGATAGTAAATTGAGAGTTAAGATCGCGAGATCCTATTTAAAAATTTATAAGTTATGCCCATAAGTATTATTGAGATGTTCAACTGTTTTTCTGTTGGCATATATAAAGTCTACAGATAAAAATATGAAAGAACTTCCTTGAAACAAAAAACTGAATACAGACAAAAGTTAAGTGGGATCCAAAATGTACGTGAAGACCCTTTACATGAACAAATCACAATTCTTGATTTTTTTCGTAATTTTTTTCGTTTAGAAATCATTTTCACTAGGCACCCTAGTAACACACCCATACGTTAAACAGTAATTTCACTTCTCTCGTAACGTTTGATGTGTCCACAAGTTTTATTTTTTGCCAGACCTGTGCCATACCACCACGCATAGACTTGCGTGTTACGGGATTAGTCGAGCCAATGACAGGCCAATGATGAATCGCTTGTCATCACTGAGGAATGCTGTGAAGTTCCTGAATTTTATGTAAACAGATCGGGCTTTAAATAAATAAATAGCCTTATAACTTGTGAATTTGGATTATAAGAAAACTGATTTCAATTTTTTTTTTTTTTTTCGAATGAACATACTGAGAATCGAGAGGGGCGTTAAAATATAATCAGATTGAATATGATCATTATGAAAACTAAATCTGAAATGATGAAGATTAAAAATGTTGCACAACTTTCAATTTTGATTTACGTTTTAAAGTTTTTGGTTGTTGTTCATAATCGTCAGAGTATAAAAAATCCTTGTTTGAATAAACAAACTGTTGTGATAACCAAGTGGACAATTTTCACAAAGATGTAACAGCAGAACTATACTTGTTATTCCTTCAATCTGATAGCAACATTAGGCTGGACTGAAAAATTATGGAAATTCGAAGCAAATATATTTTCTCATACTCCTAGGAATTAAAAGAAGTTCTGTTGAGGCATATTTAAATTCCCATGATATGTATCTTCAGCAGAATCTGCTCTAAAACGTGAATACATTCCTCCATCAACCAGTTCTGTTTCTGACTTTGTATAGGCTTCACATATATATCACAAATATGTTGCTGCAAATTTTTTTCAAAAAAAATACCCACCAACATAGTAGAATGAATCACAAAGTCATATATCTCAAAGAAATGTATACAAAACACCTGCTCTGCTAGCTGAGCTACTGCGCATACTAGCCACGAGCGGACATCCGCACTGCGATTTTTAGGACACGAAAAGTGCTTATTGAAACTACTGTGCTAGGATTGACTAGTGACTTTTTCTCACTTTGGTGTTGTCTTTGTGTCATTGCCCTACGGCTTTTATTTCAGACCTTCGCCGAAGCTGTGAAAACCGCTTCGAAAATACCGCAAGGATTCAAGGACCTCGTGACGAAAAAGTGCGAGGAACGCGGCATCCTTTTCGTACCCATTCCGAACAAGTACCACGAGGCCAAGCAGGTGTACCGAATAGGGTCCAATGGTGTACAGTGTTACATTGACAGAAATGTCATTTTCTATGCTCAGAACAATTCCATCTGGACACCGACCTCTTTGAATAAGTTGTTAGATGCCGCTTGAATGGCGGGTTTGTTCTTTACTTGGAGTTTGAGGTTAATCGATAATTTTGTACAAATAGTAAGTAATAAATTATTGAATTTTCTTTTATTCATTTTATTTGTTCTTACAATAAATAATTTTATTCTAGCACGTTTGGAATGCTACATTAGGAAGTACATGTTACTATAGGATCATTCAGTGTATAAAAATTTGAGGATATCAATATTGCCATTTGAGCAAAAATTAGCATCCTCCTGCTGAACGTTGATGTTGAATAATTCCAATAATGTATCTAGTCTATCTTGAAAAAGAATTCAGTAGTCATCCAATAATTGAAGGATGTTCTCTTTTTGTGTTAATCAAATATCTCGAAAACAAAGCGTTCTAGAATATGTTGATCGGAATTCGTAGCATAAAAATCAATGCAATAAGGCTGCTCTCGAAAAACTGATTCACCCTGTGTTAATTAGGTATATGGCCAAATCTAAATGGCTGATTATTTGGGCAAATCTAAGCAAAATGTTTATATTAACGTAGACCTGGTGCATAGTTTTCAAGATTGACGGTGTAACTTTTAAAAAATCGCGTTGTAAAGAACGTAGTGAAAACGCCCAAAAAAAATTGCCCCCCGAAATTTTGCCATATACTTGATCAACACCGCGTGTACGGGAAGTTTTGACTAGACATCCGTCGACAATTCGACGATTCGAAGGATAGGTTTGTCACAGGACTTCAATTGTTGTCATATTTTATTAGATTCCATCTGAAAATTAGAAACATACTTGATTTACGTTGATGAGTATTTTCCTGTAAAAAACCAATGAAACTTCCTTTGATCTTCAAGATAATCGGGTAATTCTTTCGTTATAAAGAGCACTCAAAACTGTTGACCCTAATGCCAGTTTTGAACTTTCCAAAGTTCAGCAGTATACCCGAATTTGAAAGAGCTACTTGGTATGCTAGTGGACTGAATATTTTGACTTGAAGATGATGATTTCATGATTTATTGAGGGAGCGTTTCATTCAAACCCCTCAACCAAGAAATCACCGCACTATAATCATTCCTCTTGTATACCTTGACAAGTTTCAAACTCAAGTGAAACAGTTACTGGAATGTATTGAATTCAGAGGAAATTCAAGTTTGAGTGCCTCAGCCCGGAAGCCAGCGACATTTTTCGATTTATTATTTGATAAAGCTTAGTCCATTTTTCAATCTGTTGTAATAATCAACAAAATCAACTACTGTAACCCCTGTCGCGGGACATGGATTATCAGTGGCTTATTAATATTGTTGAAAAAAAAAATAGAGTAAATGACAAACTTGATGAAAGATTGAACTTAAATCGTTTAATGACATACCAGTTGAAAAGAAATCACCTCCTGCCACCTGTTTCGTAGAACGATGTACTCCTGCCATGGACCTAATGATGTGGAAAGAAAGTGACTTAAATGATATGAGCTGATTTTTTTTACCGTTAGTTCATTCAGTATGTCACTGATAAGTGTCAAACTATAAGAGCACGACATTCATGCTGAGAACGGGAGCAGATAAGTAAAAGTCCGATATTTTTCAATATAGCTATATTTCTTTTTTTTAAACAGTTTTCCAAACAAAGTGTCACTGACAAGCTATTGGATTTTCATTTTGAGCTCTCTGATAAAAAAAATGCAGTGACATTTCGGGGCAAATCATCTGATTTGTCCTACTACAGATATATTCAAATAGTACTCATATTTTCATTCCATAGAAACGACGAGAGAAAATTGGCCTATTTGTGTCTAGAGTTCACCCTGTAGAATTTATGGTACTTTGTTCTGGGACACCTTATATACTGCGCAACTGTTTCGCTTCTCCCGAGTCCAGGTTACGACAAATATCTACCTGTCAGCATAAGTTTTTTCTGCCTTCTTAATTAATGCACTACCGGCAAAAAAACAGCTTTTATCATTTGGGTCACTTTATTTTTTCACATCATTAGGTCCATGGCAGGAGTACATTGTTCTACGAAACAGGTGGCATGATATGTCATTAAACGATTGGTAAAGGTTCAGATTTCATCATAAGCTGCTGATGAGCGTTGTTCCGCTGAAGCGTCGGCAGGAGTTGATTTTATGTCAAGAAGGCGTTAATATGACACAAAAATAATGGAATTTTTCTTAACCCGCGAGAGACCGCGCCAATAAAAACGTAAACGTGGACCGCCTGGGGTAGTGATGTACCCTATTGGTTGTGATTGGATTTCAGGACTTCCAGACGAAGAAAACCGTTGTCCGATGTGGAATTCCATTATTTATAACAATAATAAAATAAACAAACAACAACAATAAAAAACTTGATTTGATTGATAAACTTAAATTGAATAATGAATTTCAATGAACGAATAAATAATATATGCACGTCCCTTTTTTTAATTGCTTCTCAATTTTTTTCTCCTGGATAATATGAATATTTGACTACCATTGCAGGATGCTCGTTTTGAGGTTGAATTTCTATTTGTACAGACACGAATCCAGATATAGAAGATTCAAGTCTCTTCGGCATGGGGTATGGATATACCCCAGGAACAATTCACCAACTGTTTAGTAGGATGTGTGCAGAACTAATGACGAAACACGTGCAACAATTTGTTAATTGATCATATTTAGCAACTGAGCTGGCGTGATTTTTTAGTGCCGTGCAGATTAAGCAAAAAATTCGTAATTTGATATCGCCTGGGGTATTTTCTAACCCACGCGGTCCCTCGCGGGTTGAATACTGTCTGTAGGTTAATCGAGGAGGTCTGATTTGTCATCACTACACGTATATTGAAATTGTATTCATATTTTCATTTTATAGAGACGAGGAGAGAGAATCCCAAAACAATCTGGAATAATGGGATTATTCTTCATCAAATGTCGCTGTCTCCCCAAGTATCAGGGTTCTTCAATAGCTCCTTTATTATTCAACATGTCTGGCAATGATATCGGCAATCAGCTACCAATAAACGAAAACTATTGCAAACTCCAGTTTGCTGATGATAATACAATTATTGCACATACAAAAAATATTCTACGACTCATCTTGGAGTATTACTGGACAATAAACTCAAGATCTAGAGACATTTGATGTCCGTCAAGAAGAAAGTACAGTAATTGGAAAAGCCAAACATTTTCGCGATTTAACTTACAAGACACAGGATATAAGGACATCAATATACAAAGCTATTATGTCGTCCTCCAATTTATTACCTAATCAAGGCTTTGACAACTATGCTCTACTGAAACGTTTCAATTTCCTATCTCTAGAAAGCCGTAGAAGATATTACTCATGCATTTTTTTGTACAAACTAGTCAATAACCTGATTGATTGTCCTGAATTATTATCCCAACTGAATTTTCATGTACCAAGACATAATGCTAGAAATCATATATGTTTTTACCTCAATACACCTAGAACTAATGTATCGGCCAATTCACCAATATACTCTATGTGTAATGAATTCAACAAATATTGTAGCACAACACAATTGTATTCGCACTCCTTAAGCCAATTTAAAAATCAACTCAAATGTATACTACTGAACAATCAAGATTAATTTCGAATGGATTCAAACGCAATTTTGTTTACTTATATCAGTACATACGATTCTAGTTAACCCGATCTATCACAAATCTTAACAATATTATCAATGATATTTTAAATATAGATATTTCACCATTTACTTCTTGACACCTTAAATGAAATCGCGATCGCATTACTCATGTTATATTGTAGCATTATTGTAACAAACATTGTATATATTTTTTTGAATCTGTCCTCTAAGTGGGTATATTCCTGTTTGGACAATAAACGATTTTTTTTTTTTTTTTTTTTTTTTTTTTTTTTTTTTTTTTTTTTTTATTACAGCTAAATCTTGTTCAGCACTTGCAGAAAAACTGCCCTGAAGCACACCATAAGTTTTACTTCATCTCTTGGCGCCCACAAAGGAAATTCCTTATGCGAAGAAAATCGTGCATACCTACTGAGAATAAGGAGAGGTAGGTATTTTTTTGCAGAAAGTTGTTCAAGAGCCAAAACTAAAATCCGACATCCTAATTATTCCTTACATAACCCTTCCAATACCCTACTATATAATATTGAACTAAAGTAGATCACATCCTCCAATGACTTCTCAGCCTCAGCACATTTGCTAAGTCCGCCTACAATATCACAGTGATCAGTCCACATGTTTTTGGGCAATGTCATTTAGGGGTATATCCCTAATAAAAGATGCGTTTTTTTGGTTTCCCACTGCTGGCAGTAGAATTGACGACCAATAAAACGATGTGAATCATTTTGAGAGTTTTGTGACATTCTGCTGATCATTTGTTGGTTATATAATGATAATATAATTTCGGGATCTTGCTGTTCATCCCTATATAATTATAATTTATAATAGATGATGTTGTTCCCGCTTTCTTGTTATCCTCCTTTGCATCGCGGTATTACAAGGCAAAATACATTGATATTTATCGATGAAGTTGACCCCATAATACTTGAAAGGATTCTATACTTGTTTGAGTCTTTATCAAGATTTATCAACCTTCAAAAGTTATTTCAGGAGTCCAGTAGTGTTTGAAAGTATTCTGGGTAGATTTGCGAACAATTCCAAATTATTTCCTGAGGCGAGTTCACTTTTAGGCAATTTTTAAGTCTGATTTTGAGGTTAGAGTTTCTGAGATACCGCCATTTCATACACTCCCTCCACAATCTTCTTCCTGCCATTCCGTATGGGAAGACGGAATGAAAAGTTGGAACCAGTTTCAGAATTTCGTTCAATAAAACGACAAGAGTTGTCATTCCGGTGGGAGAATCTTGCCATTAAAACGCACCTAAAGATTCTATTTCTCTCTCTCCCTCTCTCTCTGTGTCTCTCAAGTTTCAAGTAGATTTAACCTCTATCACCTCTATCTATCTGCGAGGCCGCTGGAAAGAGGGGGAGATCCGAGACCAGCACACCTTCGCCGCTCCTTAAGAGGAGCAAACAGAGTGTCTCTGCGGGACCTTCTGTAACTAAACCCGTCAGTACACCAACTGGAGGCAGTTACAGTAAGGCCCTGACCTCCTTTAAGATGGCAGTGACTACGGGCAACTATCCCGAAGACAAGCTATCTTTGGAGCAGGTGAAGCAAATCCAGCTTCTTATTACGAGAGAGATCTGGAGATGTGAGCCAGGAACTGGGCCTCAATTCGCAGGCAGCTACCCTCAATCGGGGGTGCTGATCCTAACCTGCGAAAATGAGGAATCCAGAGAATGGCTCAAGCGGAAGGTGCCTACGCTGAAGCCTTGGGAGGGGGCCGCCCTTAGCGTCGATGACGCTAATAAGGTGGTCAAAACTCACAGGGCTGTGGTATGGGTGCCAACCGAGTTCCTGGACGCCAAGGAGCCGGCTAGGATCCTACAGCTCCTGGAAACCCAGAACAAGGGCATTAAAACAGGAGACTGGAGGATTATTTCCACCAATTCCGACAAACAAGGAATTACCCTTGTTCTTGGAATTGACGACCTCAACCTGAAGGAGTTGGCCAAGAGAGGCTTCAAAGCCTACCTAGGCCTGTCCCAACTTACCTTCAGGGTGGTAAGTAAAAAGAGCGCCGAAGATGCTGCAGGTCCTTCAAGTAAACCTGCAGCATAAAAAGGCTGCGACTGCTGCCTTAGTGAGGTACCTGTCCCGAGGCGAAGCTGACATAGTCCTGATACAAGAGCCCTGGATTCACGGGGGACGAGTCTCAGGACTGGGAGAAGCCAAGGGTAAGGTAATATACGATCTGACGGCAGGGAATGTGAGATCCTGCATTTTCGTTAAGAACGAGCTACACGCACTAAAACTGCTTGATTTCTGTTCTAGGGACCAGGCAGCAATTAGGCTGAAAATACGTATGGGAGGAATCTGGACGGAAATCATAATAGCCTCAGTGTATCTGCCATACGATTCTATCGGGCCACCTCCGTCAGCAGAACTGGAGAGGCTAGAGGAGTACTGCAGGCTTTCAAACCTACAGCTCATCTTTGGCATTGATGCCAATGCTCACAGCACAGCTTGGAGGAGCAGTGACACAAACAGAAGGGGTGAGTTCTTATTAGATTACATAATTTCTAAGAATTTAGTTATAATGAATCGCGGGAACGAAGCAACTTTTGTTACCAAAACTCGTAAGGAGATCATTGACATAACCCTGGCGTCTTCTAGAATAAGCTCTCAGGTAACTCGGTGGCGTGTATCTGAGGAACCGTCCTTGTCGGACCATAGGTATATCTGTATGGAAATTTCAGATACTGAACACCCGACAGAAGCCTATCGAAACCCGAGAGGTACGAACTGGGAGAAATTCAGAGAGGACTTAACAATAAACCTAGGAAACGTCAAGAAGATTATCAAAAACGGCACTGATGTAGAGGTAGCCTCCTGTCAGTTGCAGGAGGCAATAATATCCTCATATCAGGACAACTGTCCTTTGGTAAGGCGCAACAGCAGCAAAGACGTTAGCTGGTGGAACGAAGAACTTAAAACGCTAAGAAAAGAAACACGCAAACTTTTCAATAAGGCGAAGAAAACTGGGGAGTGGGGGCAGTATTCCATCACTCTGACCAATTATAATAAACAGATCCGTAGGGCGAAAAGGGAGTCGTGGAGGCGTTTCTGTGGAGAGGTGGAAACAACCTCTGAAGCAGCACGCCTCCATCGAATCCTAGCCAAGGCACCTGTTAATCCTATGGGGAATATAATGAAACCTGACGGGAGATATACTGAAACTGGCAGGGAAACTCTGGAGATTCTACTTCGGGCTCATCTGCCAGATTCGGTTGAAATTGAAAACGATAATCTACCAGACCCACTAAACCCTCACATGAGGGCTGCTGTTGGGGACTGGCGGGTATCGAAGAAGATTGTTGACCACAGTAAACTGCTGTGGGTCATAGAAACTCTTGAATCCTACAAGGCGCCGGGACCGGACGGAATTATCCCTGCAATGCTACAGCAGGGTAAGGACCAGCTGGCTCCGTTTATTTGTGGGATATTGAGAGCAAGCCTGGCAACGGGGTACATTCCGGTTGCATGGAAGAGAGCGAGGATCGTCTTCATCCCAAAGCCTGGAAGAGATTACTCTCAGGCTAAGGCGTTCAGGCCGATAACACTATCATCATTCATGTTGAAGGTGATGGAGAAGTTAATTGAAATGCATATCAGGGAAAACTTTCTCATTGAAAGGCCACTACATAAAAACCAGCATGCATATCAATCGGGAAAATCCTGTGAAACGGCACTTCATCAACTGGTGGGGAAACTTGAGGCCGCAATAAGCAACAAGAGCATAGCTCTTGCGGCTTTCCTGGATATTGAAGGGGCATTCGACCACACACCCTTCATATCCATGGTAGCAGCGGTTGTTGAGCGTGGCGTGGAAGACACCACATGTCGGTGGATAAAAAACATGCTACACAACAGAACAGCGGAATCCACATTGCTTGGTGAAACCATGGAGGTGACGATTTCTAGGGGTTGCCCACAGGGAGGAGTTCTTTCTCCCCTGCTGTGGGATCTGGTTATTGACGAACTCCTGAAAAAACTAAACAATGTAGGAATTTACTCACAGGGGTATGCAGATGATGTTGTCATTCTAGTAGAGGGGCAGCATCCTGAAATTATTTCAGACTTGATGCAGAGAGCCCTGAAGATAGTAGAGGGCTGGTGCAGAAAGGCAGACCTCAGGGTCAATCCTAGTAAAACTGCACTTGTGGCCTTCACGAAAAAGAAGAAACTGGACAAACTAAAAGTTCCCAGACTTTTTGACACACAGCTAAGTATGACACAGGAGGTTAAGTATCTGGGAGTAACCCTAGATGCTAGGCTAACCTGGAATACTCAACTGCGAAAAACTGTCAGCAAAGGCAAAATGGCACTAATGGCTTCTCGGAGAGCGATTGGTAACACATGGGGACTGAAACCACGCATGGTACATTGGCTGTATACTGCTGTGGTGAGACCAATGATTGTATATGGATCGCTTGTCTGGTGGCCTAAGACTGAACAGAGATCAGCTATAATGGAGCTTTCAAAACTCCAGAGATTAGCTTGTCTCTGCATCACAGGTGCTATGCGCAGCACTCCTACCGCTGCTATGGAAACCATACTCAATATTCCACCTCTTGAAATCTTCATCAGGGCGGAAGCGAGGATGGGGGCATACAGACTGGAGTGTACCGGCAACTGGTATGCTCGGGGTGACTCCCTGGGACATACAAAAATAATCAGCCAAGTTTCAAGCCCACTAATGGATATGGGAAGGGACAAAATGCTGCCTAGAAATAACTATTACAGACCCTTCAACACTCAGCTCTACTGGGATGAAAGGGTCTTGACTAACTGTCAGGAAGGCACGTTAGTATGGTACACTGACGGTTCTAAGACTGATGAGGGCACGGGAGCCGGAATATATGGAGATAGACCCAGAACCAGGATGTGTGCTTCCTTGGGGAGGTATGCTTCAGTATTCCAGGCAGAGGTGCATGCTATTGAGGCATGCCTGAGAGAGAATATAGTAAGAGGATACAGAGGTAAACAAATCCTCATATGCTCAGATAGTCAGGCGGCCATTCAATCTCTAACATGCAATAAAATCAGATCAAAATTGGTCTGGGATTGCCTTCAAAGCCTGCTAACCCTGGCTAACCACAACAAGGTAACTCTTCAATGGGTGCCAGGGCATAAGGGAATTGAAGGCAATGAAGCAGCTGACGCTCTTGCCCGGCAGGGGTCTGCGACGTTGTTTATGGGGCCGGAACCTGTGTTCGGTATCCCCAAAACCTCAATACGCGGCTGGCTGGCAAGGTGGACGCAAGAAAGACATCAGGCATACTGGAACAATGTCCCAGGACAAAGACACAGTAAACTGATGGTTGGAACACTGTCCAAAACAGTGACTAACGACATTCTGAGCCTAAACAGAAGTCAGATCAAACAAGTGACGGGACTAATAACCGGTCACTGCCCCTTGAGGAAACATATGCATCAAATGGGCATCTATACAGACGAACCCATATGCAGACTATGCAATGAGGAGGAGGAAACTGCCACCCATGTAATACTGGAGTGCGAAGCACTAGCGCGTTGGAGATACAACCTTCTGGGAGCAGTAAACTCTCAAGAGGCATTTTCAAAGAATGATCTGGTGAAGAGGCTGCTAAACCTCATCAAGGTAGCGAACCTGTTCACCTGAGTCAACAGCATGATCAGGAATACAATAGGCCCAAAGGCTGCAGTGTTTTGGGCTTCAAACCCTGACTGATCATTCTGCCATTAATCAATCAATCAATCAATCAACCTCTATCAGGTGCCCTTGGGGATGATTGATTTTGGTTTCAGGTGGCCCCAATGAAACAAAAAATAAAAACAGTATTTTTGAAGTGGTTATAAAACAAATTTGGCACTGGCAGGTATCTTGATAGCAGTGTTATGACTTATAGAAGGAATTTTCAATGCTCTTTGAAACAAAGTTCAGTCAAACACAATGAAGTTTTCATGGATTTCGACACAAATATATTTAATAAATGAAAATTTCTAATATCACTTTTACCTTCCGAAATTTACACCTCAAATCCCTTCACCAAACCTCTAACCACTGGTTTCTCTGTCCTCGTATGCCAAACGTACACTTTCGTACAATTGTCAGCTAAAGGTTCCAACTCCTCTTTGGTTGTGAAGAAACTCAGGAATTCGCTTTCCTGCCAGCCTCTCTCCATTTTGTATGAGAAGGTCGCCTCCTTTTTCGTTAGAATCAAGTCCAAGTTAATGGCGAAGCCAGCCATGTCTATTGCAAATGGGCGGTTGGGTTTCCAACCACTCCTGTAACTTTTTACTTTTCCTAAAATAAATAAGTTCGACATTTTTTGTGTACTTTGTGTAAGTACCTTGAGAGAGTCAGTTATTCAAAATGAAATATTTCTCAATGTCCATTTTAGTGCTACTTTTTTTTACAGGAAATTGTGAATACTAGGCTACAGACAATCTGGTGACGAGTAGAGTTCCTAAATGTACTCGACACTGTTGTATTGACGTTTTTTGTATATTAGAGTACGGACACTAGACAAGCAGTGACAATCAACATAACCACAAACGATTTTGAAGCAAATCATATGTTTTGCCAGACAAGGACAAGAATATGTTTTTTGCTTAGATAAAGGATCCTCGCATCTTCCTTCCTCCACAAGTCCTGGGAGTACATCCATATATCTTTCTCTGTCTTTGATTTTTGTATGAGAGTGCATAGCGTCTCCTCGAGTGGGTAAAAGGGACGATAAATTGAATAGAAAATTATTTCTTCTCGAAATATTGAATGATAAGGCTGAAGGACCTAAATGTACAGTCGTATTCGAGAAAAAAAGCGTACAAGTAAATTGGAGGGTGAAATTAACGTCATCCTATTTGCGTAAAACGGGCTATCGGGACTGAATGTTTACCAAATGTTGACAGTAGAGTAATCATAGGTTCTCAAAAACACAAAGCATTGGCTGAGCCAATTTTACACAACGAGAACTAGAATGCCGAAATCTTCTATGTTTAATACTTGTACGCTTTTTTATTGAATACGACTGTACATATATACCAACTATTCCTATGAAATAAGTCTCTTATATGTAGGTATATATATACAGGGTGTTTCAGACTTAAATGTACATACGATACCTGTAGATAGAGGACACTTCGGTGGTTCCAAATCACCCCCCATCGATATGTCTGCCGTCTTTGATAACTGAAATACAGGACGTTTTCTTGATATTGGCAAAATCTTCATCTGGTTATAACTTCTGAACCACTTTGTATAATTTATCCATACTTGGTAGAAATATTTCACTTATATAACCCATCAAAACCAAATGAAAATCCGGATCAGAATCCAGGTCCGTCTTGAGGAAAAACAGACATTTTCTTTTATCTCAAAAACAACACTCTGTATGGCAAAATTTTATTGATCGGTTTTGATATTTGGAATGAGCGGAAAAAAATGAATGAAGTGACCTACTTTTTACGAGTGCGCATCCAATTTTAAAGATGGTTTATTATCATGTCTTGAAATATTTAGCTCCATTTCGAGGCATTTTCATTGAACTCATAATTCAAAACCCAATTTTTATACAGAAAAATAACAGTCTCCAAAGTTCAACATCATTAGAGTCAAATTAGGTGAACCATCGATAAATTTGTTTTTCTGCAACCGACACAAAAGTCGTCCATTTTGATACCAAAATTAGCTCTTAAATTGACGTTTCTATTACTGACACAAAAATAGGTAGGTTGCTAGGCAACATATTTAGTTCCTAGGAGCTAAAGTTGAATTTTAGTTCCTAGGAGCTAAAGTTGAACTTTAGCTCCTAGGAACTAAAAAGGAAGTACTGGACGTCATCAAGAATGAACAACATTGTGACGATTGGTTATTTGGGTTGAGGCGCATACCTGATTTGTTTCCGATTTCATCAGATTTGGAATTTCATACCCATGCTGGAGATATAAATACACCTTATTATAGTTTAGTATTGGAATTATAAACATCTCAGCTAAGTATTTTTGTTTGATCAGGGAAGCCTTCAAGATGTTATTCTCGGGATGGATAACTTGTTTTTGAATAATCACGGCAAGCAATAGTTTTTTGTCTCAAACAACGATATTTTTTAGCTTCATTTGATTATTAAGTGAAAAACATTGTATCATAGAGAGAGGAGTAAATAATCGCCATTATCATTGTTGATATGCTCATTAACCTAACATTTTCCACGTCTTGTTCCTATAGCTGGCGCGGTATTTGCTATTAGAGCACCTGGTCCATACACAAATATGTCACTCTGTGATTGTACTTATATTGAAACTACAATTCGAACATCCTTGAAAATTGAATGAACCTGATGTTGATGCAGGTAGAATGTTCTCACTACACGGATTATTTGTCAATATTTGTTGCATTGCATACATATGGCACGGCATTGGTGGTAACTTCACATATTTATTTGAGTTAATTGTTTCGGTTGCAGAAAAAATAGCATGTTTCATTCGGATCAAAAGTGACTTTGTTCGACTCGCAAATTTTGCTTTCGCTCGGCTTCGCTAAACGCTCCGCCTCGCAAATGCAAAATTCGCTTGTCAAACAAAGTGTCACTTTTGATCCTAATAAAACAATCTACTATTGTTTGACAGAATAATTTCTCGATGATTTTAAAAATTTCCGAGGACTCATTTTATACTTAACTATTTATTCATAAGCTGCGGTAAAGTAGGCTGTGAAGAAAAAATGACAATTTCCACAGTTCATAATCACTATAGTTGCGATATTATTGGTAAAGTTATTGTAGGCACATTTATGAACACTTTGAGATGTAACAACCCAATACAAGCACCAGAAATAATTATCTTAACATTACCAATAATATCACACTAGTGATTATGACCTGTCAGAATATAAAATTTTTTTTGCACAGCCTACTTAACCGCAGCTCGTGAATTAATAGTGGAAAATAAAATGATCCCTCAAAAATGTATGACACCATAGACAAGTGATTCTGTCACAACAAATCTATCGATAGTTCACCTAATTTGACTCTAATGATGTTGAACTTTGAAGACTATTATTTTTTTGTATTAAAATTGAATTTTGAATTTCAAGTTCAATAAAAATGCCTCGAAATGGAGCTGAATATTTCAAAACATGATAATAAACCATCTGTCAAATTAGATGCGCACTCATAAAAAGTAGGTCACTTATTTCATTTTTTTCCGCTCTTTCCAAATATCGAAACAGACCTACAAAATTTTGCCATACAGGGCGTTGTTTTTGAGATAAAAGAAGTTTTCTGGTTTTCCCCAAGACGGACCTGGATTATGATCCGGATTTTTATTTAGTTTTGATGGGTAATATAAGTGAAATACTTTTACCAAGTATGGATAAATTATACAAAGTGGTTCAAAACTATATATAACTATAACCAGATGAAGATTTTGCCAAAATCAAGATAACGTCCTGTATCTCAGTTAGAAAAGACGGTAGACATATTGATGAGTGGTGAATTAGAACCACCGAAATGTCCCCTCTCTACAGGTTTCGTTTGTACATTTAAATCTGAAACACCCTGTATACTTTCAGTTGAATATTTTTTTATCACAAAAGTTCAGAATGGGGTAAAAACTGATTAACTTCAACCAATGTAACATATTTTCATTTCCTATGGAACCATTTCGCTTGTACAAGAGTGTTAGGTAATAAGTAATTAATAAATGAACATGGATCATGCTCATATAACGCAACATTTTTACTAATATTATTCAATTTGTTATTCGAATCTTTCATTTGGTTTTTCAAATGCAAAAGTTTTTTATAGTATTGTTCATCGAAACTATGAATTTTGCCAAAAATTGCCTGGATATTTGCTTGTTCAATTTTCTTGTCTTTCTCAGTAGATATTTACTGATTTCGTTTCAAATCTGAAATAATTTTTAGGTTATTATTCTGACCTTGGATTTTTGAACATTCCTGCTCTGAAAATTCGATTCTCAAGTCTTTCTTTCAAAATATGTTCGAAATTAATTTCATTATCTGCAAGTTTTTCGTTTCTTGTTGGTTCTAAATTGGAATAAGGTTGTTTTCGATACTCGCTCAGTTTATAAATTGTGGGTTCGGCTCTTTCTCTCAATACGATCATATTCTTCAACATCAAATCTTCCTTTCTGAAGTGTACCTGATAAAAAATACGTTGAAAAATGTTCTATATCCGACCAAGAAATTTTAATACCTCGCAAATCTTGTGGCCTGAACCTATATCCCATGCCGGCCGCATCATATTCTGTTTCCATTTTTGTAGAATTACGTTATCCGATGAAAATTCGAATAGAGTGAATTGATTTCCCGTGTTCTCACAGTTGGAAACTGCACAAACTTGCATCTTTCTCCTAATTCTCTCAATTTGTCAAACCTTTGCAATTTATGCCATGTACGCCCGTGTACTGCCAGTTCCCGCCTTTTCCATCAATTTATCTGTGGTTATGTCTGATTGTCAGTGCTTGTCAGTGTCCGTACTCTAATATACAAAAAAACGTCAAAACAGCAGTGTCAAGTACATTTAGGAACTCTAGTGACGAGTGATAAAAAATATGAAAAATAATAACGACGGAATTCTTTCAAGCAAACTTGAATATCATATCCTCTTCGTTTGAGTGGTTGAAACTTCTCTCGCGGGATCAAATGGACCACTTTAGTGGTAAATATAATATAAATCATCTAAGATCTAAGTTATAAATACCGTTCACACTTGACAGTAATTATTCAACGTCTATTAAATCAAACTAATCTTTGATTTAATTGCGCCGCCGGAACGAGTATATCTATGGTTAACAGTCGTTACCGAGGTCGTTATGGAGAAATCGTTCAACGAAAAGAAGGATAAAAAATATTCGCATCCTAGCTGAAGCGGAAGTTGTGATGGCCCATGCGCTTGCAATGACAATCTCATGACACTTCAAGAAAATGTTTCGAAATTGAGTGCAGTTGGATGTTTTATTACATTTTTAACTCAAATTTTGACTTTACTGCGAGAACGATAGGCGAAACATGCTAAGGAGTACGCCCTCTGTCGTCCTGAATATAACTAACGTATGGGCCATGTAATACTTTGTCTAAATTTGTTCAAATTAGTTTACATGTGTTCCATTTGAGAAGTTATTGAATAAATTTGTTTGAAAATATTCAACACGTTGAAAATATAGCATAATACCACCTGTAAACAAATATAAACAATCCAGGAATGGCCCATAGAGTAGTACCAGTTTCGCCGTTCTGGCGCTGCGATCTTAATCTCAGTCGCCTATAAAACTGTTAAAAAAGGTTCTCCTCAGAAAAGGTGAATTATCTCTGCCTCGATACAGGTGATAACAGAATTACAAGATTGGTTTACTGCTGTATAATTCGCAGGAATCATTCTTCAGGACCTGGAAGGGACGTATCTTCTCATGGGTTGGGAGATTTTATGATTTTAATATAATTAATAGTCGATGATTTAGTTTTTTTAAACACCTGGCTGCTATGATGCAGTGGATTAACTTCTATCAACTAATCAGCATAATATTTTGAAGTTATTTTTATCAACTTTTCTTCGGAAAGCAAAACAATGATTAATTTCATGCAATAAATATAAATAAACAAATGAGGTGTCTTTAAAAAAATTAAGTAGGGATACAAATTTCACATTTTGATCCAGAATTGTCTCAGAAATCCAAGAAAGTACAAAATACACAGGTTTCAAAAAAACCTGACTCCCTTGATAGGGGTAGGTAGAACACTGCGAAATAAGAATTTTGTATGGATGTTTGTTGGAACCTGACACATCGCATGAATTTGTTTTTATATCTGACTCTCATAGAGGGCGCTAGTTACACGGTTCTTACCGATTAGTTTTGAACATAACTTTTTTGAGGTTAGATTCTCTAACCCAAATTTGATGTAAACTCAAACATCATTCAATTTCACACCAAAAAGGTACTCCTGGTAAAACTCGATACTGTGTTCCGTTTTCGGAATATTTCGATTTGAAAATAATGGAGTAATAGCTGATGCTTGTATAAAATGAATTTTATTGAGATCAATTACTTGTTTATTCAGATTGAAAAACAATAACATCATTATTGTGCTGTGGTTATTGATTGAACAAAGAATCACGAGTAGGAAATTGAAAAATATTTGACTAGAAACATAAAATACTGAATCAGTTAGAGTAAGTGTTCAAAATGTCCTCCGTTTCCACGAATACACGATTCGATATTTTTATAAGAAAGCATTATTTTTCTAAACGGTTGAGGATCAGCTGTAAGGTCATTTAAGTGATGTTCAATTCTGACTTGCAACTCTGGACGTAAATTTACCTCTTTACCTTGCTTGATACAACGAAACTGTGTAATCCATGATTTTAGTAAAATTTGTTTCAATGTTATTCTTGTCAATCATTGTTGAATCAATAAGTTTAGCATTAAAAATGTATTGTTTCGGTTTGCAATAAATTGGTGATGATTTTTTATAATACTCACTCTAATACATAGCTTTATACCAGCAACAGGTTTCACTTCATTTTCAAATCGGAATATTTCGACAACGGAACACAGAATCGAGTTTCACCAAGAGTACCTTTTTGGTGTGAAATTGAATGATGTTCAAGTTCACATCAAATTCGGATTGAAAAATCGAACCTCAAAAAAGTTATGTTTAAAACTGCTAGGTACGAACCTGTAACTAACGCCATCTATGAGAGTCAGATAAAAAAAACCAATTCATGCCATGTGTCAGATTCCAAAAAACATCCATACAAAATTTCATTACAATGTTGCCAGTAGTTTCGACATAATCGTAAAAAATGTGTAAAAAAATCGTTTTTTCAACACCTTGTATCTTGAAAACGGATGCCGTAACGACATTTTTTCACTGAGCAAATCAACTTATTTTGCAGTGTTCTACCTACCCTAGCAAGTGGGTCAGGTTTTTTTAAAACACCCTGTATGTACCATTCACCGATACCAAATCTCATACTGATACACCTGATGTTCTAGAAGTTATAACCTGCTTCAAAAAATCCTCACAATAGCCAGAGGTGCATTTACAACGTCTCTTGAAATTGAACTTGCGCTTGGTTTGGCGCCCCCTCGCTTTAAGAAATAGAACGCCTCGCCAATAATCCGCCACTGATGAAAAAGATGAATAAATAAATGTACTCACCAGTTTTAGGATCTAAAATTGGTGCTTCAACATTCAATCCTCCCACTAATCCAACAGGCCAAGTGCCTACTCTTTTAACCTTACGAATCTAAAAAGTATACTACTCAATGATAAAGTTCATCATGAGTTACAATCTTAATCCATATGAAAAAAGGATAATAGGTTTTGATTTCTTCATAGAGTTATATTCCTTGCTGAATTTGAAACTGACAATGACACTTCATATTCACACATTTAGATATTTTCCTTGAGAGATGTTACAAAGTCTCAACCAATTCGCGAAAATCACGAACCAATAGATGGCTCTATTAAACGTCAAATCAACGTCAAATTTCCAACTGAGTATGAAAAACAAAAACATTGCCGTATATATGCACTCACTGCAAATTGGTTATTTCCAAATCATTTTGCAAAATAGTAAATAATAAGTTGACTTCTTGAAATACGTACAAGGTTTCCAGTATGGAAAAAATTACTTTTCGTGCAGAGAAATTGTCATTTTGATGTGGACAATGGTGGTATTCATCATTGATATCACACTACAATCCCACAGTTTTCAAACATATGGAAGGATCGGAATGGTCCACTCAACACTTGCATGGACTGGAATGGAACCATACAAGCAATCAGCTGGTATAGGTATAATTGAATTCATCAAGAAATATCACCGGCTTTTATGAAGAAGATGGAATTGTAGTGAAGGGGTTGGAAAAGAAGATATTATGGTTGGAGAGGCTGCTCAGAATGAACAATATCATCGATTTACATAAACAAGGATCTCCAGCAATTGAGGACTTGAAGTTATTCTCAAGATCGAATCATTGCAACCAACATTTATACAATAGTTCTAATTTCTAATTGTGCTTCAGAAAATGTATATCATATTATTATAAGGTAGGTACTGGTTCCTTCATTGTAAACAATAAAAGTTCATGCATGCAATAATTCAACTTTTTTCATCAGGGAGAAATGAGGTTCTGGAATATGCACTTCAACAAATAAATTATTTTCCAATAAAACACATATTTATGAAATTCAAAACAATGGTCGCCATATTTGTTGTTCATACTCGCAAGACTTGTACAGTTAGCCACCAGAGGCCGCACACTTCGTGATTTTCGCGAATAGATTATATTTTCAGTGGTTAGACATTTTGTATTGTGAGGTTGGCTACAAAGGTGTCAATTGTCAATGTGAACAAAATATGCACCACTGTCAAACTTATTCTATTTCCATAATGTTGAATGGGCCTTTCCACTATCGAAAAATTTGACCCTTTCCCGCCATAATGTTATGAAGGGAAGCCCAAAACGATCCCGACCACATATTTATCGGAAATGTCGAACAACAAAGAAATTATTCAATATTGATGAAGATGTACTTTCAATACCTGTGAAATCAAACATTACTGATATGTGACGTCTGTCTCCTTGCAATTTGATTTGTTGGAATTTGTGACGGCTGCCAAGCACGCCGCCGTTCACAGGTCTCTATAAAATCCTTGGATTAATCCTATGTGCAAGATGGTGCAAGGAATGCCATGATTCGAAATTACTATGTATTAGCTAATTGGTTAATTGGTAATTCACTTCTAATCACTTACAATTTACGCTGAACTGTGAAATATATGTTTCAAGATTAGCTAGGATAATATGTGATATACGCATCTAACAATAAGACGCTCTTCACATGGTTCCATCATCATCTTTATTATTCCCAAGAAACAATTGACGTATATGTTTATAACAGGGAACAATGAAAAATAAACCATAATGTATTACATTACATTTAAAATGTTGTAGGTATAGGTATAATTATTCTAGTAATTCTCAGAGTTTGAGCTGATCCTTGTTTGAGTGAATGAATGATTAAAATAATTGATATGTTATATGATCTCTAGGATATGGATGACATGACAAAAATTAAGAAGAATAAATATTTTTCAAGTTCTTTCTTGAATTTTTTGGTACTGATGTTTTTTCCAAGTCTTGTTGGCAATTCATTGTAAAGTAATAATCCATTGTAATATATAGAACTCTTGCCAAATTCAGATTTGATTTTGATGAGGGAGAACATGTCAGTTTGTTTGAGTTACCATCATGTTACGATTTCGTTGACTAATTGTTATAATCTTCAAATCAGTCAGTATTACTTCATCTAAAGTACTCATTTCCTGAAAGTATATAATTGCTAATGTGGCGACTCTTTCTAATTCACAAGAGAAAGAGATGAACCAACTGGCGCTAACAGAATGTTGCCAAGTTGAAATACCTCATTCTCCACATAAATTCACTGTTCTCATTTTTCAATATTATCGACAAGAAATCAGTGATGCTTGCATAAAAAATATAACTAAGTGTGCAATTTAGTATTGATTGATTCAAAATGTGTTCCTTTCCCTATGGTAGGTTACCTAGGTGAGTATCTTGACTTGAAAAGTACTTTGCTGGAGTAAGTCAATACAAAATGAAATTTCACTTATAATGTCAAATAATAAAACTACACAAGAAAAAGAAAATTTCCAGAAATAACCATTTTTCAAGAACTGATCCAGATGCAGCAAACAGGATAGCAAGAAAGCAATTAGCAATTAACTTTTTTTTTTTTTCTCATTTAACTATTATTACTATTATTATTAATATTCATACTTTATATATTATAATTGAAAACTGGGCTGAAAGACTTCGGTCGATGGCCTTTTGGGGTATATCCCTAATAAAGATGTTCTCTCTCTCTCCCCCTGTCAAATAATCCACAAACAGAAATCAACCATCTGAATAATTATGCAAGGCAATTGTTCAGTACCACGAATTATTAGGTAAGTAGGTATTAGTTGAGTTATTTAACAGCATCAGTGTCATTTATTATGCTGAATCGAAAAAATTGGAAAATGAATATACGACTACTCATACTTTTTGTCCAAATTGGCAACATTGTCACGTCCACTGTGCATACTGTTGGCACCTGCGAGAAGGTGAGGGCATTACTAATCCAAAATACTCGAACACTGACGTCACACATTTCACGGTCATGTCTGATCCGCTTGTCTATTTTGGCGTTTCATTATTTTTCATGCAATACATTGATGAGAAAAAATCACAAAAATTTATTATTATTCCACAGTAATATATTTCGACATGTATTTTCTAAAAATGACTGGAAAGGCCCAGGCGCAAGAACAACTTATTGATTATAATTAACATTGAGAAAAGATAATCATTCATCTTTAATAACCTACCTCCGAAAATAGATTAAGGTGATATGAATTGTCATCATCCATGAAGTACACTATTCCTTTTTGATTCCCAACAGTCAGATTCTCTCTGAGCCACGAGAGAGCTGCATTTCTTTGCTCGACACCTCTATGTTTTTTCCAGCTAGGTTCCTGGAAGGATATGTAGTCAGCATGACCCTCATCCAGTTAGAAATGGGGAAGTTTCCTTCACATAAATTTTCATAAAATAAGTTCGGAACTCTCCAGTTTTATGTCCACGCTGTACAGAATGGCGACCGATAAAGTCGTTTACATTTTCAAATTAGAGCTGTTTCTAATTTTCGGAGCGGCAAACTGTGACGTACAGGGTATCCCAATTTGGGCACTTTTGCGGGGTATCTCCCTTATCAGTAAAGATAGAGCATTGCGGTTTTCGCGACAGTGTGCTACTTTTTTATGAAATTAATAATGGCGCAAGCAGAATTGTGATAGCTCTTCCGGTTGTCGAGATACAGGGTGGAATTGAAAAATATCACCCCCCGTGTCTCAGTTATCTTTGAACTTATCGAAGAAGTTGAAACTTGTTTCTATAGAGTTTTTCTCGTAGAATCCAGTGGCGTAGTTATTTTTTTGCTAGCACCTTTTGTTTTTTAGTTATGGAGCAAACATATGTTTTTTTAAATGGAAAATAATTGTATACAATTATATATTTTTGGAAAGCCCACTTTATGCTCAATGTATATATGAAATAATATACAGGGTGTTCCATTAAAAAAAACATATGTTTTCTCCATAACTAAAAAACAAAAGGTGCTAGCAAAAAAATAACTACGCCACTGGATTCTACGAGAAAAACTCTATAAAAACAAGTTTTAACTTCTTCGATAAGTTCAAAGATAACTGAGACACGGAGGGTGCCTGAAAAGTGATATTTTTCAATTCCACCCTGTATCTCGACAACCGGAAGAGCTATCACAATTCTGCTTGCGCCATTATTAATTTCATAAAAAAGTAGCACACTGTCGCGAAAACCGCAATGCTCTATATTTACTGATAAGGGAGATACCCCGCAAAAGTGCCCAAATTGGGATACCCTGTACATTCTGAATCTAGTCTGAAAATAGCTGATGGTGAAGAATATAGCTAGCAAATGGCTAACGAATGAAAAAAAATGGAAGAAGTAAAACTGGTGAACAAAAACATACATAACCACAAATGCGCTCGGAGCAGGAATGCAGAGGCAAGTTTGCTTCATTCTGACAGGTTATGGTTTTGTTATTTATGCATTGAAATATCTCGAATAGAGCTCGATACTTAACGAAAATATCATTGAATCAATGAAATACTATCGGCTACATTCAATCAATCCTAATTTACTGTCATCGGTCTGAACAGAATGAAGCGTGTACCTGTCAGTATTTTGAGTGGTGTGGACGGATTCGAAGTATTAGGCACTGTTGCAAGATATAATCTGCAACTTTCCTAGAAAATAGATCCGTTTTATTAAGGAACGGATTCATTAGCAGAAAAATGACTGACAAGTTATGCATAACATATTGCAATATAACGATAGTGAAAAATCATAGAAATAATCGCAAAATACCATAATTCATCTTTATTAGTAATCGTCAACTTCATTCAGCCAATGAGAGATTTATGGGAATTATTCATAATACTTGACAAAGTTGGATTGTGAAGAACCCATTATATCCCATTGCTGTTCTGATATAGTTATTATGCATTCAAAGAACAATTTCCGTAAATCTAGACATATTGATGATGTAGGCAACATCGTACTGGCACAGGGAATCGTATATTAACTCTGTGTCTATGTGGATTATCAGAAAGTATGTCATAGGAATGGTGAAGGAGCCAAGTTCCTCTTTTATTTCTTTTTTTCTGAAGTGAATTTTGATCTTACGATCTGGGATGTAATTGAATTTATGAATAGCAAACATCGAATCTTTGGCCGTCTTCTGGCCCAGTACATGATAGATTTGCTGGCCATGGCAAAGCTGCACTGGTCAAACGTCAGCCCAGTGTATTGCATATTGTAATAGTTGTCCTATAATTCAGCCGGCACTGGGCCAATAGCATCACTTTGTATTATATTTTTACCTACCTCATACAATCATCTACCCATTATATGGCACATTGAAATCGTTTAACTATAATTTACCCGGCAACGTGTCAAATATCGTATGATTATATTTCAGTTTCAATTGAAAAATCTAATATTCAAGATGCTGAAATAGCGCAGTGCTTTTCATAAACTTTTATAAATAAAATGTAGATGAAAATTGACAACAATATACCTACATATATAGATACTCATACACATCTCAAAAATCTACTGTGTGACCTTCAAAATCATATTCACTCCACTCAATTTGCATAATTTATTTTACTAGTGAATGGGAACGAAATGCAGACTAACGTAACCTCAAATTCTGGTATTTTTATTTCCTGAATCTCATGTATTTGTATTAAAACATACTTTATTGGACGAATATATTATGCTAAAAAGCTCCCTCGGATGACAAGAGTAAACAAATAAACAGTCAAAAGTGGTTTTCTTTGCTCAAATCACAATCGAAAATTCAAAATAATACACACAAGCAAATGGACCATTTCAAAACAATGTACTTTCATATATTTCAACAACCGGCCACTTTGGCGCTGCGATCTTAAATTCAGTCGCCTATGGGTGCCGGTGATTTTCGAATGTAGTATTGAGAAAGTGCTGCAGGTCGAGGCCAAAAATTCTCCCAAATGTGCCATAAAAACACAAAATACAAACAACAACATTTTTTGTAAAACTGTGAATGTGAATTCACAAAATTGAGATTTCTAATTGAATATTGAGGTGTGGATCTGCTTCCAAACAAATTAAAGTATCTGATAACATTGTGGAATCAACTATTCAAGAACTATCTAACATTACTGATCAGCAGCAATATGAAACATCTTAATTGTTTAAACTTTACTATCAATTATTATTCCAATACTTAATCGAAGTTGTTTTATGATGAATAATCAATTAATAATTGTCTCTGTTAAAAATGAATCCTTCATAAAGTGATATTTCATGTTTATTTTGTGAATTACTTTGGCAGTGGAAAAAAAGTAAATATTTATGCATTAATGGAGATGCAGAAATGTCAATTTATTTCACAGTTGTACAAAAAAATAATTTCAATTTCACTGATTGAAATAATCATTTTCTATGGAATGCATGTTTTTCATTAAAAATATGAGAAACCAAACACATTATTGATTCAAGATACACTACTAAAGAACTCAAACTCTGTAAAAATCACAATTATCACTCTGAAAGTTGAGTGATATTTGTGATTTGTGATGCATTGAATGGTGAATTTGAACAAACATTCAATTCACAAAATGAAGAAATATGATAAAAAAAACTTGTAGCTAAACGAGTAGCTAAATGTTCAGTAGTTTTGTAGTTTTTTTTCAACTATTTATTACAATTAATTTATGACAAAGTACAGTGTTATCTATCAAAAAGGCCCTCCCCTATATTAAACAATATTCCAAAGTTGAATGCCACAATGAGGCCTTTCCACAGCCCTAATCAGAAGTTTTACAGGGTGATCTCTAAAAGCATGACATACAAAAAATGGAAACCCTGTTTTATATTTTTTCATCATCTGAATTTTCGTGATCAGGAAATTATATATATACAGGGTGATATCTCCTATTTTTACTCCTCCATCACCACTCTTTTGAGCCTGTAAAATCAAATTTTGTCTGATTAATTGATGATCACTTGATCATTTCAGGAATGTATTCCATAATGATGCAATATACAACTGTCAAAAATATCCTCATTCATGGCTAACAGGATATCTGTAGAGGCCAACACACAAACATTGTTTTTCTGGGGTCAAAAAAGTGGTGATATTGAAGAAAAATAAAATGTATCATCCTGTATACATATATGTTTGGGATCACAAACATTCATAGACTCTGAAAAAAATATTGAACAACAGGGCATTCAATAAAAAAAAAACTATTTGTGGTTTGTCACTCTCTCAGAGATCACCCTGTGAAACTTTTGATAAGGGCTGTGAAAAGGCCTCATTGCTGCATTCAACTTATGCATATTGTTTTTCTCCCTCCTCTGAAAAAATAAGGTAACATAGGGGTAGGCCTTTTCCATGGACAACCCTGTACCTATCTTTAACTGGATCATTTCAGGCAATATTACCTTGTCTTTTAGTTTTTCAAATGGAGGTGTTTTAGCATTTAGATGGGTTACTGTCAGCTCTGATTCTTCTAACAATTTGCTAACTAAATTCGTTTTTTCTTCTGAATCCTCAATGACAATCCAATGAATATTTGGAATTAATCTCAGGGTCTGTGATATCCTAGTAAGTTCAGCTCTTTGAACCAGGCGGTAGTATGTTGGAGTAATTGCATATATGACTGGAATAGGTTCATAGTTGATGTGTTTTTGCAATTGTTCAAAAAGCAGAAGTTGCTGCTTTGTGATATGGAGAAAATGTTTATGAGAGTGCAAAATGTCTTTCAGATCTTGCAAGTTGTCACCAGCTAAAAAAACAATTTGTTAACATTTTGAATGATATTATTATAACAGTGTTCATCATCTTACTATTGTCTGTGGCCTTCAATTTCCAAATAACTATTATTATTGTGAATATAACAATATACAAGAAATATTTACGAAATTTCATATTCTCAAAAATACTCTTGTTAAGATCCATATTCAACAATTATATCACAAAAATAATGGTACTTTGTAGAATTGATAAATTTAGTCATTATCTAACTGGTTATTTATTAACTTTATTTACCAAACGATTAACAAGGATTCAATTATAAATAATAATAAGGAATCTTTTGCCCACAACTTTTGAATCTGACATTTGAAATGAGGTTCATTTCATTCTACTTCTTTTTCAACATCGCGTGCACTTGGAGTAAAAACCATCACTGTGAACTTGGCAGTTAAAGTCAGCGGCCAAAATTTCCGGAGATTTCCGACCATCCAGTGGCGTCGTAGATTTTTTCCGCAAGAATAATAAATACGTGTCAGCTCAACTGCCTGATAAATAATTAGTTTGGCCGAACTGAATAACAAATGAAGATACTTATACATATAAAATGAGCTGATGTTTCCATGAATATTTTATAATGAAAAAATAAAATAATCTGAAATTTCTTGTGGTACTCCTTGGCAATTTCAGTTCTCAAAAAAAAAAAACGTTGTAGCTAGATAGTAAAATAACAATATCACTCTAACATTCCATAGAAACTTTTCTTTTTTTCTTGCGAAATTCGTTTGTAATAGTTATTTACGTAACAAGTCCGGAAAATACTGTTTTTCTGGACGAGTAGAATCAATTCTAAGCCGAGCCGTAGGCGAGTCCTAAAGTCCAAAAAAACTGTTTTTGGACGTGTTGCGTACACTATTTTTTCGGCAACTGCTTCCCCTGCTCCCTCTGCCCCCCTCCAAATGGCCTCATTGAAAAACAAATCAACACCCAACGTGCAAGAAATACCGAAAATATATATATTGATTACTATTTCAGTTTCCTTATCGCGAGATTGTTTCTTTTAAGAGAAATTGAGGAAAAAACTCGAAACAAAACACAATATTATCCATGACCAGCTGATCAATCCACATACAATATTCGAAAATTCGAAAAATCAAACTTGACAGCGATAGAATCATAATGAATGTTCTTCCACTTATAGGTGGTAATTGGTTTTAATGAACTACCCCAGCCAACCAGATGACGAATGATCACGTCACTGTGACGTCCCTAATTGGTGATTTTTCGTCAGAGACCCCAGGCAACCAGATGACGAATGATCACGTCACTGTGACGTCCCTTATTGGTGATTTTTCATCAGAGACGTCACACACCAATTTATGACGTTACTATGACGTACTTTCTATGACGTGATAATCACGCGTCATCGTTTCGACGTCGAGTGAACGTCACTTAGATGGGTAAAAGAAGACGTCAGTTCCATGACGTTGCAGGGACGTCCTGTCGACGTCCATTTTTCCCAGACCTTCTCTAAACCATGGATACTTATATATTATCATGTGAAACAGAAGTATAACTCATGAAAGCGAATCAACATGCAAGTTTTATTCTAATTATTAATATACCCGAAAAGTAGTAGAAACACTTTTTTCTAAAAAACTTTGACACTCGCTGTATATCTCGGAAACAACAAATGCATCTCAAGCACATATACCAGGAACAAGAATAAACTCAATTATACATACCAAATCGAAAATCATTAGCTGAAATCAGTATCGGAAGTAAAAGATCTCGGGGTAATAATGGACTCCAAATTGACATTCAAATCGCACATAGAAAAAAAATCAACGAATGCAATAAAATGATAGGATTCTTAAAAAGCCGTTGTCACAGTTTTAGGAATATAAAATGTCTTTTGAGTATTTATTATGCTTTATGTGCACAGTAAACGTTGTTTCGCATCCGTTGTTTGTAATCCCCAATATCAAATTCATATTAGATTTATTGCTTACAGATCGAATATCGAAATAATAAATAGTGACTACACCACTGATGCGTGAACTCGTGAACACAGCATGTTTTAGCTCTCAAAGATAGAAGAAATGTTACAGATCTATTAACAATTTTCAAACTAATGAAAGGACTAGCGCAGAGTCCAAACCTTGTTTCGAAAATTGAATTCAATGTTCAAAGTAGATTACTTAGACCCCTAGAAATTTTCAAAATTCCATTCAAAAAAACGAACGCTGCCCAAAATTCACCATTATGTATGATGCTCAGAATATTCAACAGCACCTGTAATGACCTGAATTATTTCGAACTGAGTCTGGATTGTTTCAAATTCAAAATAAAAAGATATTTCATCGACCATCTCCAGACCATCTCCAGGTTGGTGCCATACGAGCGATCGCATTCATTTTTACTGTATATGTATACCACTTCCTCCAATACTCTAAAAATCACTTTGTTGGTTTCACTTTTAGTTATTTTGTTTATGATATATTTTAATTTTTGTAAAGCCCACTAGGAATTTATGTAGAGGGTTCTGTTTTGGATTTTCAATCTGTTTGTGATCCCTATTTTGGTGGATAAATAAATAAGTACCCGGGAACGCATCATGTGCGTTTTGCTGAATATATCTGAAACTATATACGATAGGGGAAAATTATAAGAGACACAGTTCAAGCTCAGCTACGAAGTGACGTAGTGTGCTCATTTCTACACAAGCCCAGTCAGCACATCCTTTTGTTGTCAACCTCGAAAGATGTCGAACAGCACTTTATCAAAACTCCTTCATCCATAGAACGGCTAGGCTCTGGAATTCATTGCCTGAGGAAGTATTCCCAACAACATATAATCTCCAGAAATTCAAAAAAATTCCAATACCTACCTCCTATCCCTATCCTCCCTAGGAACAGTAGGAACGCACGATGTTCTTTGAACATTATAGGGATTCCCTTTCGTGCGCTCCAAGCGATAAAAAAACGAGTAATAGCTAGAAACTTACTCTTTTCCCAATACGGATACTGAGTTTGTTTCCATATCAAAAGAGAAAGAAGGCTTGTTCACGGTGGATACTGTTGGGAAGGAGGCTGTGGTGCGGTTAGTTGGTAAGTACCCGGCAACGCATCATGTGCGTTTTGCAGAATATTTCAGAAACTATATGCGATAGAGGAAAATTGTAAGGGACACAGTTTAACGGTTTTTCCCCATCTACGAAACTTAGTTTTTTCCCAATACGGATACTGTGTTTAATTACATAGTGGAAGAGAAAGAAGGCTTGTTCACGGTGGATACTGTTGGAGAGGAGGCTGTGGTGCGGTTAGTTGGTAAGTACCCGGAAACGCATCATGTGCGTTTTGAAGAATATTTCAGAAACTATATGCGATAGAGGAAGATTGTAGGGGACACAACGATTTATCCTCAGCTACGAAGTGACGTAGTGCTCAATTCTGCACAACACACAGTAACCGAGTAATTGCTAGGAACTTAGTTTTTTCCCAATACGGGTACCAAGTTTGTTTCCATATTAAATGAGAAAGAAGGCTTGTTCACGGTGGATACTGTTGGAGAGAGAAGGTTGTGGTGCGGTTAGTTGGTAAGTACCCTGGAACGCATCATGTGCGTCTTGCTGAGAATATTTTGTTGAAGATTACGAGCATTACTAGTTTGACTCTGTATATTTATGAAGTAGTTCATTTTATATTGATAGATGGTTGTTGTCAAAGTCAGAATAATATAATAAAAAAATAATTTGTCATAAAACTATTCGTTGTGTCAGACTCTAATAGCTATTCAAATAGCTAGAAGCGTTATTTTGCTATAGGTTATGGGTCCAGAACGCGATTAGAAGTGAAGAAACTCTCACCAAAGTCATGAGATTTTCAACTGCATATGAAGTATGGATAGAAATGCATAGGTTATTCGATGGTAATTCGGAAGATAAAACCTATGATTTGTGTTTCCAATTCTTCAGATATAGAAGAGATATGGGAGATGATATAGCTACCCATATGTCAAAACTGAAGAATATTTGGAATCAACTTCAGATGGAAATTTCAAAAGACAGGTTAACCATGGGACATTCTTGCGATTGTGACCTTCCTGAGCTACTATTGATTTGTAAGATTTTAGACACACTACCTGAGGAATATTTTTCGTTCAAATCAGGTTGGATGCTCATGTCAAAAGCTGAAAGAACAGTTGATAATCTAACAAGTCAACTCTGTTCATATGAAAAAGCTTTGATGAACAAGATCGAAGATAGCAACAATAAGGAAGTGTTAGCAGCAGAAAAATCATATGGTAGAAGGAAGACCAACTACAAAAAGGGACCCTTCTGTAATTACTGTAAATCATATGGACACAGAGTACGTCAATGTGACAAGTGGAAAGCTGATGGTAGACCGCCAAAACCACAAGCTCAACTTTCCTCCAAAGAAAATCACAAGCAAAGTTTATTAGCTGAGACCAATACTGTGTTAGCAGCAGAATGCGATAGGGAAAGCTGGTTTGTTGACAATGGAGCTACTAATCACATCACAAATCGAAGAGATCTATTTGAGACTTATGAAGATTTTTTGACAAAGCACTCTGTAACCACTGCAAATGGCGATTCGATTAGCGCATTGGGAAAAGGTACAATCACTTTGGAAGCTATTGTTGGGAGAGAGGTGAATGAGGTTTCTCTAGAAGAGGTCTGGTATGTTCCAAATATCAGGAAGAATCTGTTTTCTGTTCTATCAGCCCAGGATAGAAATCCAGATAGTGAGTTTACTTCTAAAACCGGAAAATGCGAACTAAAGGTCAATGGTCAAGTCCTACTCTATGGATTGAGAAGTCGTTATGGGAATTTGTACAAATTATGTGTGAGAAATGTCAAACCACTTAATGCCAATGAAGTAAATATTATCTCAACTGAAAATGTTCTGCAACTTTACCATGAGAGGCTAGGGCATCAAAACAAACGGCACATAAAGTCACTATTAGCCAGAGAATTTGGCATCAGTGTCAAATTAGATAGTGAGCTATGTGAGGGATGTATTTATGGAAAAGCACATAGATTGAAATTTGGTACAAGAAAACGCGCTAATCAACCTGGAGAACTATGGCATTCTGATGTGTGTGGACCATTCGACAGATCTCAATCTGGATTCAGATACTACGTCCTTTTTCAAAGACGATTATAGTAGATATCGTTTTGTTTA